CTCCAGCAGTAGTCTCAAGGAGCCAAATAAACAAGCAGAGTGACTCCATTCTTCCACAATTCCCTGGGCCCTGGGTGGTTATCAGATGCCACTGAGTGGTGCTCGTGTCTTACTGGTCATCCAGAAACAGGAAGTGGGCCATCAGAGTCCCATGAGGCTGGGTGTTAATCTGGAGAGGACAGACAGAATGATTTATAAACACACAGGCTCTTCTATGCCTTCTTCATCCCTCTTTCCCTCATCTCTCCTACAATCTTTCCCTTTCTCTTCACTCCTTTTTCCTCCTCAGAATGTTTCTTTAGTTGAATCACCACATTTTTCTGAAGCAACATCATCACATAGTTACTCACATACACTACTCTAACACAAACAACTCCCTCTCAGGCACAGCTCAAACACAAACCGAGCAGGCCAGTCAGTGCATGCGTTCACCTCGATCAATCGATTTGAGGATTAATCATACCTCCTAATCTCCATTTGGCTTCACTCTGGTTTACTTTACTTAGGTTAACTGCTGGGGATTACAATAAGGCATTATAAGGAAGAGACACAGCACTCAAAGCATCCTGAATAGAAATCTTTGGTTGGTCTACCATGATGTCATGCAGTCTTATTCTGAAGCCTCGTGATGAGTGTTTATGACGATTGGATGAACCAGGGGGCGATCTGACTGTGTAGTCTATCTTCCTTTCGATAAGCTCGATAAGCTAAAATTTACAAAATGGACTTCACATCTGACACAAAGATAGCGACTAAGCTCATTAATTCATCAGAGAAGTGTTTACTGAGGTCCCATAGAAGGTTTAAATGTGGGCTTCAGTCTTCAGGCCTGAGAACTACACCTGTCTTTGACTCTGTCTATTGCTGTGGTTGAATAAAAAAAATAAAAGCAAACCCTCATAACTCGTTTTCCTCATCACTTTACCTTAGCTTCAATGGAAAGCACCAAGGGAGTAAAGAAAAGGTGTGAAGAAGGTATAAGGCATCTTTGGGATACAGCAGACTTGTGTAAATAGCATCCACCATCACATTATTAACCTGTGAGGACTTTATTGGTGATGACCCGTATCCTCTCTAACCCTGTTTTTGCCTTTCTCTGAAATATAGGATTAGGACTGGTATCATCACTGATTGATAATGACTTACACCTCAAGGGGTTAAACTGAAAATGCAACTTAAGCAAACTGAACTTTTTTTAAACCTAGGGCAGATTTTCCTTATCCATAACTTGAACTGGCATGGCGTTAATTCAGAGGCATCAAACCAATCTCTGAGTAGGTTTCAGGTGTTCTAATAGGCTCAAACGCACCTCAGCTGAGTGGAAACCCGTATTATTGTTTTTCTTGCATAGTGTGTTCAGTTATACAGTTTAAACAGACACTGGAATAGTTTTTAGGGGTCTAATAGTCTATAGGGACATACCCAAAACAATGGAAGGAGCTCCAGTGGTCCCTGAGTGAGCACATTAACTGGTGAGATATTGTGTACTGCTATTCTTACTCTGTGGTTTGCAGTATTTTGATTAAATAACAGTGATTAAATTGTTGATTTTAAAGATGAATAAAGAAGATATATATGTAACACACACATATGTGTAAGGTGTGTGTGTGTGTGTGTGTGTGTGTGTGTGTGTGTGTGTGTGTCACAACTGTGTTTTGACACAAACCAATTTTGGATTTTGGGCAAGGGAGACAGATAATTATGGGCTGGAACAGTTTCCCACGACAACAGAAAAGCACAAGAGAAAATTAAACATTTATTTGTTCTACACCAAACAGATGCTTTTCTAGTAGTTTTAAGTGAACAGATCTAATATATACTGCAAACTGATTGAACTTTTCAGTCTTTTATAAGACTGGACTTTTAAAAATGTACCTGCCTGTAGTCTATCCTTCAAGCTATGGTTGGCGAACATATTAGTATTTACTTAATCACATAGTATTATAATTATTTCAGAGTGGGGAATGGGGGGATGGTACCAACTAACAGTTTTCCCTCCATTTCTATATTTGAGCTAAGCTAAACTTAGCTAAGTAAATAAATTGTGGAATCAGAGCACTTGCTAAATTATCTGTTTCATTTTTCCTTCCTCAAACACACAGTTTAGTTATAAACGGTCTTATAACCACGGCTTCTTTTTAACCATCACTGTGATAGGGAAGTGGACAAAAGATAAAAAAGCTCAGAGGAAGACTAGGTAAAGAAGTGCAGTAAATGGCCTCTGGGATGGATTAAATCCGGGCCTCTGCTTTAGCTTAATGACATATAGATTGCCTAAACCAGTGTTACTATGGCCTCTTGAATATGCTACATTTGAGTCTTTGGGCCCATAACCTTAGAATTAGCTTGCACATCCCGTTAGCTTGGATCCTCACAGTTTTAAATTGGTTTATTTGTCATAGTAGCTTAGATTTAGCTTCTTTCTTTTTTTCTTTTTAATTACCGTATGGTTAGCTTTTAGGTCTTATTAAAGTTAGCTTAGCTTATCTTAATAGCTTAGAATTAGCTTCTTGGTTCCATTTGGTTAAAATTATAGAGTGCTTGTTAGATAAAAGTTGATATCTTTTTTTTATTAGATTTTTCTCTAAATCTTAAAGTTGCTTTTATATAAGTTAGCTTGATTCAGTTTTTATTTTTATTTAGCTTATATTTTAAACCGTTAGTTTAGCACCTAGATCCTGATGCACACAAGACATTTATATTTAGGTACGCAGCCCCCACAGGTTCTAGTGAGGCAATAGCCATGTAGTGTGTGGTACAGTCAGTTTTGCTATCTTGATAAAACTATATGCTGTATTACTGATCCAAACTATATTTAAAATACAATTTTAAATATGATTTCAAGCTCATGTCCGCTTTATATTCCATCTTTGTATGAATAACTACTCGTGAGGAGCTGAATTCCACTACTTTCTGATTGACTGACCTTTTTATACGTATGGAATGGCTTATTACTGAACATATGAATCTGAAGCACTGGTGAAATATACAGATATCACTGAAGATTTCCATAATACAAGTAGCTTCTCTCATGCACACAGCTCTGCAGCATTAGGACAGAAAGGTGAGTTAATTTTTCTAGAACAGAGCTGCAGGTCAGACCATCCTCGGCACCTGATTCAGACAAAGAGAGAGGATTTCCTCGCCGCCTCATCGTCCCTTTCTCTCTGTGATCTCAGATACATTTAATGCCATTCCGATGACACATGACTCCCAGGAAACCCAGCTGTAGGCATCTGCTACTGAAGTGGGAGGAGCTACACTTTCACCTTTTGGTTAAACCTGCAGCAGCTTATACTCATCTTTTAGATATGAAAGCTAAATCAACAATATACAGAATGACATCAGGGATCCGAAACAAACACGTATTTGCAATAGTGCAGGGAAGGTCACCTTCCTAGGTCATCAATAATCCGTCAAATGTCTATAAAGAAGTCTCACTGGTCTTAAAAGAAATTACTGCTACAACTACTGTTAACACTTGTTATTTAGCATTTAAATCCCAAGGATAAAACAAAATGCCAGGTTTTTGTACGGTAATTATATTATCCTTGAAATATTATCCTCCTGAGAAAATTAACAAACTCAGCATAATTCCCCAGAAGGGAGACAGAAACTGGCAACCTCCATTTTTATCCTCGTGAAGTAACTCACCAAGCTCCATCACCATCAGGAGCAAAGAGTTAGTGGATGTGACAGTGTAACAATGCAAGAAATGCATAAATATAGCATTACAAAAACAAATATGTGCATTTTCTTTTACTGCAGTAACATTATGAATGTTTCATTCCTTTTAAGAGATTATGACTGGACCGGAAACGCCAACATATGTCTGCGTACGTCAGAGTTATTACTGTTTTACCTCACCCAGTTTGGATTGGTGAAGTATTTGTTAATGTTTCAGCTTGCAAGGCTGAAACATTAACAAACCTGTTGTGTGATAACATGCTTAATGGGGGAAAAAAAAGTCTTTTATGTTTTTAACTTTCCATAACCTCCGATTGGTGATCCTTAACCTTTTTCAGTACGTCACCAGTCCTTCTGAAAGTGGTCCCCCGAGCAGTCAACAATAATCGGTTTATTGTTCACATTAGGACCACATGCAGCATCATGAGACATCTTTCTCCCTGCGGCTTCAAAATCCGTTTCTCAGCAATTGACTGTTTTCAATAATTCTCTCTTTTTCTGTTTATGTCTCCTCGCCTTTCTTTATCCTCTTCCTCACTGTTCTGCTCCTCTTCCCTTCCTCTCTCACCTTTGGACTTGTTATTGTTTATTTCTCAGTCCCAGACTTGCTCCTAATTTTATTATCCTTTATTTCCTGCCTTTGACTCTGCCAAAACTCCCTACTTATCTGGCTCACTAGCCCTCTTTCTCCTATCAGTTCGTTTTCATACCTACTGCCTCCACCCTGATGGTCTAACCAAACTTTATCTCTCTCCATCCTCCCTCCCATTTTGCTACTCGTTCCATCTCGCCGTTTCTCAGCCTTCCTCTCCCTTTTCCTCCCTCCCTTCTCTCTCTTTCTCTGTCTCTGTCTCTTCTCAGATTCTCAGTGTCTCTCTATTCACACCACATCAACAGCTACTGTCCAGACCGAGCTTTGCCAGGGATGTTTATTTCATGCTTTTATCATACGGCAGCCTAATGACGCATAATTGCTTCATTTGCTTAACGAGCTGGGAGCCGGGGGCCGACACAGCCGGACTCGACCTGATCTGCCATCATCAAACTGAAAGTTGAGCGAAGAGGCAGATCTGAGAGTGGGACAGACAGGCAATAGAGACAGTAGATGCAAGACTTTTTGCAGGAGTTTAGATGGAAAACAGGAGCAAAAAAACCCTCCAAAACAGAGCCGTTGGATAGATTTATGTTGCAGCTTTTTTAAACACACAGATTACACTGAAAAAATTTATTTTTGTTAGTTATGAATAGAAGCAAGGTAGAATGGAGGTAAAAGGTGGAAAAAGCTAAAAAGTACTTTAGAAGTTAAAGAAAAGTATGTCAGGAGAGGACAACCAATAGTTGGAGTAATGAATTAAAGTTCAGTAAAGTAGATTTTAGTTGAGAGTAGATTTCTGTATGGAATATGGCATTTTGCCAGTCTTGCAAAGCATGTAGTTGAAGTTGAGTGGAGTTCAGTAGAAATTGGTTTTTAGAAAGACGTTTTTTAGAAGGGAACACATCAAAGAGTTCCAAGGAGCAAAGGATAAACTGTCTGGAAATGGATCTTCTCGGGACTTTCTAAAAGAAAAAGAAGAACCTCGGGAAGTTTTAAGGAGAAAGCAATAGAGAAGAAACTAGAATAACCTGGACTGTAAGTCGAAGCCATGGAGCTGCTGGAGGCATTCTATCGAAGGAAGCTCAGGAAGAAGCAGAAGAAAACGGAGCTGGGCCGGTCAGACGGGGGCCTGTGTCGGTCACCGTCGGAGGCCAGCGTCAACAGCCTGGCGACCGGCCTCATCTCCAAAGTCCTCAGATTCACCTCCAGGTAAAACAGGGACATGAGTAATTTATGTCCTCAAAGATGAAAGACAGGTTAATGAAAACAGGCCAGAATTTGGTTTGTTTGAGGTTAGGAATGGTTGCGGTTTGCTAAAAGACTTGTGTTAAAAGTTTGTATAGTTTAAACAAAATTCAAGCTTTGCATGTACACAGTACTTGCAAACCACAATCAATAGTCAAAGAGGATGAATGGATATTTTTAAAGATTGTTTTCTGGAATTTTTTGGCTTTATTGGATTGCGTAGCAGTGAAAACAGACAGGAAACTGAGGAGAAAGAACAGGAAGTGCATCTGAGAGATTGTGATAAACTTAGGTTCATATTGCTGTGCTGCTTATTCAAAAATATTGAAGTTGACAACTGTAAAATAAAACCTTAACTAATATTAGAACATCTTAATCCATCTATAAAAATTCTTAAAAACGCAGTGACTTAGAAGACAAGAGAAAAGTCATTAATCTAACTTGTGTTAAGTTGCAGGAAGCCTGAATTGTTAATTGCTGATAAATCTAAGAAAACTGTAGCCACCTTTAGCCACAGCCCAGAGAATCTCAGAAATCAAACAAACAATCAGGGCTACGCATCGATAATTTGGATAAAGGTTGCAGCCAGATTTTCAAATTTTAGACCCTCTGTCGAAATGTTTATGACTTGCAGCAACATTGACGACCTCACCAGTGACCTTTTTAGGGTCTCAGAATCTTCCTTTTGGAGATTTTCCATCTGAATTCCTGCATACAGAAATTGTTGGTGGAACCCACCCTAAAAAGAAAACCTCCCTGTTCAGTAACATAGTAATGGAGTTATTTTATCTGGTCTCTTATTGGAGTTTAATTTAATTAATGATGGTCATCATTTCTGGTTAAAAATGGTCACAAATATGAGGAAAATAGGTAACTGTATCAATGCTTTTATTTTGTGGAGCATTCATGCTTAGTGTCACAGTCACATCCCAAAGGAAGCCCCCACCAACAAGTCAAATCTATCAAGACCAACTAAAATGAGAACCATAAGTCAAAACCAGCAGGACCTTCTCTAAGCTACGACTAAACTAGAACGTCTTTCCTGAGGTTTTAAACCTAATATTGGGATTTGTTAAATAATGTTTGGTGTGTGAGCTTTGAATCTTCCAATTAACTGCAACTGACTTTGTAAATTGTATGGGACAAGGATGATACCGTCTTACTGTGAACACAGGGCCAAAATGAAGATAAAAATACACTTTGTTATACTTTAGAATCAGAGTGAACAGTAGTCAAAGGAGCTTGCAAAGAAAAGCGTCTGGACTTCTTTAAGTTACTTGAAGACGTTTCACCTCTCATCCGAGAAGCTTCTTCAGTTCTAAGGTCAAATGGTGGGGGGGATACTCCCACTAGGTTTATATCTGGGACTCCCCACCATTTGACCTTAGAACTGAAGAAGCTTCTCGGATGAGAGGTGAAACGTCTTCAAGCAACTTAAAGAAGTCCAGACGCTTTTCTTTGCAAGCTCCTTTGACTACGATGACCTGGATGACTGAGAACCTTCACAGAAAGAGTAAACAGTACATTCTCTGCAGAGCTAATAGAAAGGGTGTAAATGTGTATATGTACATCGGTGATGATAAAGTGTTGAGGTATTCCAGTCATGTCCTGTCATTATCCAGGTTCCTGTGGTTCAGAGACATACAGGCTTTCATGTCTCTGTCTCCTACTTAGTCAGATAAAATCATTTCCTGTTTATCTGTGAGCATAAATACAGAGCAGGAGGATATGTCAAATATGAGTATCGGTGGAAATTATTTTAACGTCAGTATCCCTGTAATCATAACTCGTCTGCCAACACGTTCAGAGTATGATGATGGTGATGTGATAACGTTTAGCCCTGCAAACAAAAATATGATAATTATCCCTGAAACAATATCTGTGTTTTTTCTAACCAGCTTCAATATTTACCCCGATTTAGTGTGTTTGCATGTGAGATTCAAAAATAAGTTGTGGGAAATCACGAGAGTAAAGACACCGGTTTATAATTTTTACATTCTGGCTTGTGATGGAGTCCATTATAGCATTTTTCAACCTTAACTACTTTATATGCTACTGAGGAGCTAAACTTTTATTTTGACTCTGGCTGTTTTAACTGCTCTCATTTCAAACTTAACTATTAATATTGTAACCTCCAGGTAACAGGTATGCAAAGCTTTAAAATAAATGTAGATGCAGAAAAGATTACTTTGCTAACGAAATCTACTAAAATGAAAGATTGTGCCATCATGAAACATCCACATAACTTTAGTTTTCACTTGTTCTTAATTCAGTTTGACTCTGTCTAACATAAAACAAGTCATCATAGGTACTGCCACTGATCTGAGCCCAGAGCGTTAACCTCTAAACAACCACCCAAGGTATTGTTAAGCTTGCATTTAGCCACATGTTAGAAAGGTGCTGCCTGTCAAATAAAGTCCTGTGTTATTTGATCTAACAGTTCTTCCAAGATTTTCCTTTCGGTTTGAAATATACTTAAAATATCATAGGAGGACAGAAATTATCCCAAACTTAATCCTAAAAAGGAATGCTAAATTGAATATCTTATCTAGAAGTTATAACAATGTGACTACACATATTAGAGAGCTAGTCACCTACTGGATTGTTAAACATTAAAACACTGTAATGAATGACCACTTGGAAGCTGCGTCTTAAAGCATTTCATTGTGATTATTACTTTTTATGTGTATTATTAAATTTCCTGGTGTTGTCGTCCATTCATTGAAACACTTCAGTAACTTTTTTCCTTCCTTGAAATGGAAAAAAGAGGCAGAGATAGGCAGAAGGTGAGTCAGATCTCAGTGGAATGAGGCCGTGCAGCTGTGTGCGCATGTGGGAGGACGCAGTGGGATAATATTTAATGCTGAATTGATCGGGGGGGTTCCATCTCTGATAATAATCTCTTTTCAGGGGTTGAATCCCTGCAGTGATTTGAAGCATCTAATGGCTCTATGAATGAAGATATGTGCAGAGTGAAAGGGGACAGATATGGTTAAATTATAAACTGGGAATGTGGTTTAATGTTGTATGTGGTGCAGCTTTTTGTAAAAATCCTCACTACTACCTAATACACAGCATGTATATGAGAATTACATAAGAACTGTCACTGTGCTACATTAAAATTAAAGTTTTAGAAAAAAAAATTGCAGTTAGTGTGAGTACACCAACATCTGTTTAGCTCAAAGTACAGATGAATTTGTCAACTTTGTCTGAGGTCAGCCTAACAGTGTCGCATGAAGTGAAACCGCTACAGAAGAACCAAAATTCAGATTCACTCAACAGAACCAAGAAATGTTTAACAGGCCCCCCAAGCAACAAAAAAAAAGAAAAAGAAATATTCTGGTTTTATCCATCAGTTTATCCATAGCTGATTCAACTTTCTCAGAGAAAATTGGGCAAAAAATGTGCTGTTTTGGATCATTGTTAACCTTCCAGTGATTCATGATCCTCAAGAATCCAGAAACCAACTGAACTGCTGAAATATTTAGTTGATTGGTTAAATATGATGCCACAAATCAAATTATGATATCATATAAACAAGAGCCCCGAGGGAGTTGCCTGTTTTGCCTATCTGTCATGACTTTTTGGAAGAATTTCTCAATCATATGATGTTTCTTTTTTTTCTTTTTTTGAAAAAGAACATTTAATCCTCCATACAGCAAGACGATTGTTGTGCAAGAACGTATGAAAAGAAAGCTTTTTGTTCTGTCCATTTTGCAGATGCTTGAAAAACGTGTGTAACACATGTGTAACAAGCAGCTGAGCAGCTGATTCATTGTTTGATTAGAGTGAAATGTAATGTGATTCCTGTATTGTGTTGCTTTTAAATGCATTACCCACAGGGAGGTTGGGCTCAGGTTATGGTTGGTTAAGATTGGTCTGAGTTAGATTTAGATTAGGGTTGGGCTGGATTTTGATAATGGTGTCTTACCTGAATTCGTACATTAGGCTTGGATTGGACTGGAGTTTGGTTAAGATTTGAGGGGTTTTGGGTAACAGCTGGGTTGGATTTTTGATGATAGTGGTTGACCTGGAACTGGGTTAAATTAGGCTTTGTGCTTAGCTTTATCTTGGACTGGGGGTTAGATTAGGATTGGGTTTATATTGAATTTGAGGGCTTTGCTCGGATTGGATCGGAATTTAGGTCACAATCGGGTCTGAGGTTGAATGTTGCGGTGGGTTGGGTTTTAAGTTAGAATAGTTTTTGGTTTGGTTGATAGCGGCTGAGCTGGAACTTTGGTTAGGTTTTATCTTTAGCTTTATCTTACATTTGGACCCTGGATTAGGATCGGCTTGGATTACAGATGGGTTTGGGTTGGGGTGAGTGTAGATGATAATGGCCAATCTGGATTTGCGGATAAGTCTTGGAGTCTGGCTTGGATTGGGATACCTGGGTTTGGGTTGGAATGGGTTTGGATGATAGTGGCTGATGATGTTAAAGTCTGGTCAGAAATAGAGGTGAGGCTGGCTTACCCTGCACTATCCTTCACAGCTAACTAAACCCTGAAAACACACTCTTAATCACAGCATTTAGAAATGGAGGTCACACTGTCCAGTACTTCACACACTCTAAATCCCTCTCTCTGTTTTCACCCTACAGACGCACTGAGCCGGCATCTCGTCCTCATTCATGGCATTCATCGAAGCTCGATGAAGGCCAGCAGGAGCTGGACCTGGGAGCAATGGACAGCATGAGCAGCAAGTGGCACCACAACTACCACGCCAGGTTAGTGTTTCTTATATATATCTAATGATTATCTAAGCCCCTGATGTTCAGTATATTATCATTTTCACCATTTCCTGAGTGAGATTTTGCTCAAGTTTTGATTTTTAATTGAATATTGTCAGTTCATGCTGGGATATGTCATTAAACCAAACATCCTCCTGTTTCAAACAAATGCATCTTCATTACTGGCCTCAGATATCTGGTCATCACTACATATGAAAAAAGTAAATCTCCTTTCTTTTAACATTTCAAACATCCAGACATTAAAGAAGTTAATAACTGGAGAAGTCAGTAGAGTCAAAGATAACTTGACTTGTAGATTCAGTGGATGCTTGTTCTTGGAGGTAGGAAGGCAATAATATTGTGGTAATTAACACATATACACATTTATGCTCATTCCAGTAAATGCGATAACAGCACTTGAGCTGCTGATCATCAGCTTTAGAACTGCGTTTACAACCAGCAGCTGTGGCAAATAACCCTCCTTACAGGCGCACCCTGCAGGTAATAGCACTTATCGATCTGCTGTCAAAATAAGAGCCTGAGACCTGCCTGACCTCAAACATTTCCAGCACAGTCTGAGGACATGTTTAGAAGTCTGGATTGTAGGTTTACTCAACACCACTATCTGTAAGTCACTCAGAAGGTCAAAGTTCATGGTTGCAGACACTCACGTGATGTCTTGTGTCTCATCTCAGGCCAATATACATGCATAGTCTAGTCTAAAGACCCCGTGTGATACAGCCACGCTTCCTTCATTTTTGTGTTATTTAAAAGCTAATCTTATTTTACAAAATGTTATTTATAAATTTTGCCTTAGAATGTTGGTGTTTCTTTTTTTGTCATGACCAACTTAATGTTTAAGACCCTGTGGTGCATAACAGAACAGACAAGAGACACAGCTGCTTATTGCTGTCTCACAAAGGATGTGAACTTTGACCCCCTGAATCCTGGAGTGTCTAAAAGCCAGTTTGTCTGCACCACTAGCGGCCTCTGAAGTTCCTTTTATATCCATGCTTAATGATCTACTACACTCTGAAATGTGTAGTAGAAACCTATGCAACATTTGGACTTGAGCTCGGTCGACACTTTCCTAATGAGTTCATGGGCTCAGTCACTCATTTCGGGTCATAGTGAATAAAGCATTGCGTATTTGGTAAATTTTGGTTAACCCTGAGGTTTCTAAAGGAGAATTATATGAGGTGTGTTCAGTGATGAATGACTTGCCATTGACAAGCAGATGGAGAAAAAAGACATTTTGAAGCTTGAGGCTTCAAAACAGAACGTTGTCCTTCAGTTCTTGTTTTATTTTGAAAGTTAGAGCCTCACGTGGCTTTCTGTATTTTTACTTCTTCCTTTGTTTGTTTTATTTGGGTGTTTTTTTTCCTATCCTGAGTTCACCTGTTTCTTATTATCCTTCTTTCACTGCTGTGTATTTAATTATTATGTTTCCCCTCAGTCTTTACCAAGTGGTGGTCTCTACTAACCCTGATTCCCTTCTTTTGCATTTTTGTTGTTTTATATCATTTACTGTATTAGCAACAGCCTGCCTCATCATGCAGGGTGTTTATGAGTAATAAAGTTCCTTCTTTTTCATCCACCTTTCTCCATCTGTCTGCATACTTGGATCCACTTTAGTCCTTTCTGAAGAATGGTGATAGTAGCTGACATGGCTGAACTTGGACATTTTAACATGAGACTCACATTTGAAGCCAGCACTGCCACTTTCACATTGGCTGAATTTTTCATCCCCCAGAGGTTGCCCTTTGGCTGGAGCCTATCACAGTTGACACTGGAGGTCACAGGCACCATGGCCAGTTAACTTTACATGTTTTATGTGAAGTGGACCTGCTGGTCAAAGGAAGTTACATCACTGATTCTTTGAAGCACCAGTGAGAGGGAAAATAAAAGCCTCTGATGTGGCTGTGAGGGAGAATGGAGCATTGGCGTTCCTTAAGCCCACCTCCCCCCTCTTTTAGGTCCCATGGAAACCCCTACTCATCCACCCACACAAACACAAACCCACATACACTCACACACTTGGTTGTCCTGATGTAGCATAATATTTTTTGCATTCCTTAATCCCCTGAGTAGAGGTGGGATTAAAACACAGAGATTGAGACATCCAGCTGACGAAGAGATGGATGCTGAAAGTGAAGTTAGACTCACAGAAGTCCGTGAACACAACCAGACGCTGTCCTCTTTTTCCACAGTCGTAATCGCATTGTGTTCGGTTGAAGGACTTGGTGGGTCAAACTGTGACGTCAATGCACATTTACATTCCAGTCAGTCATTCAGAGTGAGGTAGCGGTGCATTCGGCTGCGGATCACCAGCTTTACAACTGCTGGTTGTAAAGAACGCACACCTCATCATGTCGGCGTTCTGGCCCTTTTTTTCTCTAAGAGCCTGAGTCACTTTCAAAGAGATGCTACAATGCCAGTCTGAGCAGTGTGTCAGCTCTCCACTCGAGCATAAGACCGAACATTTGTGCTGTGCAACAGGGGCTTCTTCAGGATGCTTTTTTTTATGTGGGGTGGCACGAACAAAGTAAGGGGAGCACGGGAAATCAGAATATTTGATCCTAAATAAATTCAGGGTAGAAATCTGGTGTAGAAAACACAGGCCAACGTTTTCAGGCTTGTGCAGCTGGGTGCACTCATACAGTGAATGTTTTGCAGTGCCACTTTTGGAAAGTTTGCAAGATCTGCAGAGTAGAGTTTATGTTACTGGAAAGTTTTTTCAAGTATTTTGCAAAGTGGTGAAACAAACCTTTCTGCTTCAAAATATACTTAAAGCAAAAGTGCTCATTACACAGAATCATTAACATGGATCACAGTTATTGATTTATTAATGTTTATGTCACTCTAATGTAGCATTTGGAGTTGATTTAATCACGTATGTACAACTGGGTAACTTTATCTATAATATAAGCAGTAACTAAAGCTCTAGAATGGATGATATGGGGGAGGGGAGAAAAAAAGCTTTCATCTCACCTTCAACAACAATCCAACCATCACAGAAATGTATCGTTACCAAGAGCCATTCAATGAGATTTCCAACGTTATCAACACCATCTTCTCTTTCTATATGTTTCTAAAAAAATAAATGATGATCCACGCCACTGTGAGGGGGGACAGTCTCTTATACTTGAAGAGATTCATGCATTCTGTGAGAAAACATTTGTTCTTGTTGGGATAATTTCCTTTAAACTCACTCTTTATCTCATTAGTAGTAGTTACATGCATCAGTATATTACTACAGCACTATACAGTATATCTCCCCTTACTATATGATTTCTCCCAGAAAGTCCTTTAAGAAAAAGTCTAATTCTGCAGTAGGCAGATGGTGCGAATCATACAACTGTGGCACATCAAGCCACAGCTAACCACCAGCGCAGCTGATCCAGTTAATCCACAGCTGCACTGGTGGTTAGGAAAGACAAAACTGTCAGCAGACCATGTCATGAAAGCGTGAGCCCGAGTGAGTCATCTTTCCACAGTTGTTTAAGGCAAACATGACACCAAGAAAGCTAAAAAGACACTTGGAAATCAAACATCTCTTCAAAGAGAGGCTTGGCTTCACTACAAACAGTGCTGAATCAGAGGCAGCAAGCCCATTTGTTGGACTGTGTGAAAGTGTCTCATAAGGAGATGGAAGCATGTTATTGACCACTGGAGTGGTGACTCTTGTGCATAAAAAAGAAATTGAGATGTAATGCGGTGTCCAGATGTTGAGGCTGGGATGTCTAAAATGCCCTTCATGGTTCAAAGTCATCGTCATTGTCCCACTAAGGGAAATTTTGACAAAATAGCTACAAACTAGCAACATCTCCCCAGCCTCAGCTGTCCTTTGTGATTGGTTCTAATTAGATTTTACTGAAATGAAGCACTAAATGTAAGAGTTGTTGTCTCTCAGTGTCTCGACCAACGATCTCTCCGGCGGATTCGACTCTGGCTACCTGAGGAAGAGTCCGGACCAGTACAGCTCCAGGGGCAGCATGGACAGTCTGGACCATCCCCAGTCCTCCCAGCTTCACTCTGGAGCTCAGCACCAGCACTCACTGGCCCACCACAGACTCAGTGGACCCCACCCGGCCTACTCCTCCTGCCACCAGCTGTCCTCAGCCAGGTGCATAAACCAAACACTCCTCAGCAATTGTTAGGTATAAGCTGAAAAGTCAGTCTAACAGCAACTCCAATACTAATTTGTATATAAATCATTTGTCAGTTTTACCTTCAGAATGTAAAACTGACGTTACATTGAAGGCACAAAGAGAGGCATCCAGCCCTTTTTATATATTTTTACTTATTTGAAACATCCAAATGTGAGACTAATGGCAAAGTAAATTACGCTACGTTCACACTGCAGGTCTTAATGCTCAATTCGGATTTTTTGATCAAATCCGATTTTTTTTGTCTGCTTGTTCACACTACAAATAAAATGTGACAGCAAATGCGCTCTAGTGTGAACCCTCAAAGTGGCCCGCATACGTAAAAGAAGACGTCACACACGTGCTCTGTTTTAGACCCAGACCAAACAGTATTGTTTGACTGATGTCCCTTACTATAAAGACTTGTTTCGGACTTTACGTTTCCCAATTTTGCTTTAAGTTGTAAAGTTATTTTGTTATTTACATATGGCCTAATAATTATCCTTATTGCTGTTTCAGAGAGGAGCGGTGCTTCAAAGGATAGTTGCAGATTTCTGTCAGAATCTGCAGATTATACAGTACAAATAAAATGTTCACGTTTCTCCAACATTGTCTTCCAAACAGTTTCACTAACATCTACACTGGATGGCCAGGAAGTGTTCACGATGTCTTCTCGGGCGCTTCTCCGGCGCTGATAATTGGCGTCTGTCCTGTGTCAGTGACGTAAAAGACGGATTTAATGCGACCTGACCGTTCAAACAGCAGTCGCTTTCTAAAACATCAGATATGTATCAGATTCAGTACCACATACAAAAGTGACCCAGATCGGATTTGAAAATATCGGATTTGTGCTGTTCACACTGTCATACCATGATCGGATATGGGTCGCATATCGTCAAAAAAGTTGGATTGATGCGCTTTCACCTGCAGTGTGAACGTAGCCTTAGAGGTCTTTTGAAACTGAATAGCTAGGTCTTCAAAATTTACCTGCTTAGCATGTTGCCCAAATAGAACTTAACCCTAAACCTGGACCTGTCCCTGGTTCAGTCACTGATGGCCTGGTGGTTTTAAAGAGGTTGTCTTTGAACCAATTAAACTTAGGTTACATTTAAGCCACTTGGTAAACCAGCCTAGTTCCAGAAAGTAGAAGATAATGCCTTTCAAATCAAGTTACAGGGATTTGGTGTGCAGTTGGGTTAAAAGCTCTGTCTGGGTATATTAAATGGAGAAAAAAAGTTCCAGAAATATTCCCTAACTCTAAACATGTTACTGATAACCTGATGGATATTACATTAAATCTCTGTATGCTTATCCTTTGAACTAAACCTTAATCAGTGAGATCGGGACTAGTGTCACAGTCTTGAACTACTTGTTGTGTTCCAGGTCGTCCAACAGCATTGAACACTTGCACAGCAAGAGAGACTCTGCCTATTACTCTTTCTCCACTAGCTCCAGCATCCAAGAATACCACGCCTCCACCCCCTCAATCAGCACAGAGCGCTCCAGTTCACTGGACACCGTCCCTCAGAGAGCAGGGGGAAGTGGCGAGACGCACCAGGCTGACATGCGTTACGCCCCGTCAGTTTACGACACCCAGCAGGGCATCTTTCAGGAGCGCGAGCTGAGCTCCAACTCTGCCGTGTTCTTACGTAACAGCGACTCCAGAAGCGGGGGCGGAGCCAGGTCAGGGATAGTTCGAGATCTGGAAGGTAAAGTTTCTGTTACTGGAATGTTTTTCATGTTTTCAGGTATGGTAACTTTGATTCAGTAACGTCATTGTTTGTCCATGGTACTCTTGGTTTCAGGTTCAGTTAGCGGGGTTTGTTACCGTGGCAGCAGCAGCAGCAGCGGTGGTGCACCGGCATCAAACAGACACAGTGTAGGACCAATATGGGCCCCGGCAGCCAACCGCAGCTCCTATGAGAACCTGAAGGGGGCGCCTGCTCCACCAAGGCGCAGTGATAGCTATGCCGTTATCAGGAGCCACGAGAGACCAAACTCCTGGTCCAGTCTGGAGCACGCCAGATCACTACGGTAACCAGGTTCCATGAAGTTAGAGTGAACATTGATTCTCATTCAGTGCTTCACAAATTTATTTGAGCGACACCCAATGTATGGTTTATGACACAGCAACCCTAAATTAACCGTATTGGTCATTTTAATGGTTAATCCAGCAGCATGAGAAGGCTCTTTAATGAAAATGTTGTTTTTAATGTTAAAATACAGTTATTGTTCTTAATAATGCATGTTCAAATGTATTGCTTTAGCAAATAAAAAAAAATCACATTTTTTGATTAAAATGTCAAATTACAGTTACTTACTTGCATTCCTGAACAGAAAAAAAATAGTTTTAGTGGCTTAGTGGTGTGCTTGATTAATTTCTGACTTCTCAGAGAAATCCAGTGTCATCATCTTTTATTTCAGTATAATAATTTACTATATTGCACAATATTTCTATTTAATACAATATTGTATCAAGCCATGTGGCTTACTGGATAGAATAAGTCCATTTCACTTTCACTTTTTTTTTCCTTTGAACTTGGGGCACCAAGTTATTGAGAAGTGTTTTTCTTTGAAGCTTTGCCAAGTAAGAATTTAATTATTTTGATTTTACAATGCTTTACAATAACTTGCAGTTTGCAGTGGGAAAAGATGAACTAAACATGTGTCACAATATGATATGTTATGTTATGACACAACATTATAAAATCCAACTTGCCACACTACAGTACTGTGTTCATACATTGTGATTACAATGTGATATCATATGCTACGTAATGGTAACATGGTATGCTTTGTTATGATACAATAATGTGTAATGCAATGTGATATAATTTATCTAAATCTAGAATAATCTAAAATAACTGACATGGAGTGATACAATGCAATATGATACCATGCTTTATGATATTCAGTACAACATATTAAAATATACAACTCTACAATTCAACATGCTGTACCCAAGAACCATCTGCTTTTTATATAGCACATCCTGGTACAACACAATAGATTGGTGCTGCACTATAAGCTGCAGTATGAGTCAATATAATGCAGAGTGTTATTATGTAATACTGTATAATACAGACAGTGTGCAGAATGGCGCCATGTGTTTGTAAAGCAGCCATATCCGATGCAGTAGTGTACTTTAGTTGTGAAATATTTTCTACTTGTGTAAATTGGTAAGTCACTTAAACTATTTTATCTAATCAAAAGTTTTTCAATCTCTCTTAGTTCTCTGCAGAAAGGCTCCTGGCATCACTCCAGTGGTAACGTTGCCTTAGGTAATGACTGCATTTACGTGCTCCGTGAATTAAACATGTAGAAACAGGTTCAAACAAAGACAATGATATATGACATGACTTTTTAGTAGCTTTATACTGTATAGATGAGAAAACTGACTAACTCTGACTGTTGATTCAGCTAAAGGCTCGTATGGTGCTGAGGGTCAGCTCCACACGGTGATGGAGAAGAGTCCAGAGAGCAGCCCCACCACAAGGCCCCGTCAGGGTGGAGGCTTTCCTCAACCCCCGTCCCCTACCGGGCCTTCCTCTGGATCTGCAGGCCCCACGCCACAGGCCAGCCGGTTTATCCTTCCTACCAGCATTTACCCTGTTCCCCAGCCTGAGCCACACTATGCACAGATGCCCAACTCCCCCAGCCCAGGCCCCTGTGGAGTCTACCCAGCCTTGGCCAAGGAGAGCAACCGGCAAACGCAACATGAAGGAGCAACAGAGGGGCAGAGAGATGGAAGGATGTCAGCCACAGAAAATGGATACCAAACTAACACTTCATCCTACCCCCACAGCTCTTACCCAACAGACAGGTGATGGTTTGTTTAGGCTTCTGTGTTTCTTTTTCTTTCTATTTAGCTAACATCTAAAAAATGTTAGCAAAACTGTTCTTGCTTCTCAGAGAAATAACCCCCTCTTTTAATCGTTTTGTTTTTCCCAATACATCCACAACAGTCATGTTTTGCCAAAGTCATAGACATCATGCATTTCTTTCTGGTAGTTTTGAAGCAACATTAGCATTTATTGCATTAAGTCAGAAGTAACCATATTTAGCTCGAGGCGGGGGCCTTAATGTTCAGCTTGGTTATCAAACTGCATCCATCATGATCCAGCTCAGTGGATGCAGTAGTGGAGGTGCACTCTACAGCACCCACGCCCCTAACTTTAAACCTTACTGAAATCCAAACAGGTGGCCCTTCTGTACAGGAATGAAGGGGGAAATTAGCTGATCTTTGTACCAGGCTATGAACATCTAATTTGGACCTTTTTGTGAGTCTTTTGGAGCCAGATTTTGGTGCTCAGAAGAACTGCAGTTTTTGGATAGAACCAGCATTAAAATGCTTTTGGTGGTAATTCAGTCTCATGCTTTTGATAGGCATCAACAGGAAGAGTCCAGCTTTGGACCCTACAACCCACGCATCAAAACTATTGGAGGGGGAACAGAGAGCGAGACAGTGGTCCAAAGAGCCCAGAATCATCAGAGCATCCAAGAGCAGAAACAGGATTTCCATATTCCCCAAAATTACTCAGCCCCTGAAGTCAGGCGCGCATCATCACAGGAGAGGAGCGACCCCTACGCAGCTGTCCAGTCCTTGGGAGACCAAAACAGGTACAGTTAGAGTGGGTGGGGTCTGCGAAAGTTCATGATTGTTCAAGAGATCAGAGTCTGATTTCAAATCAATGGCCGCTTCACGCCTGTGATGTCTTTTGATCTCTTTTCAGATCAGTAGACCAGTCCAGCATTCATTCAGAGCCTGTAGCATCTTCCAGGCTCACCCTTGGACAGGTTCCACCCAACCACTCACCTGGTCAGGCCCAGTCTCAGGCTCCACCCTCTTCTGCCTCACACCATTCTCCCCAGCACCTCAGCGACTCATCCGCTCTGCACTACCAGAACTGGGACCACGGAGAGCAGGACAAAGACAAAGAGCACCCACTGACCCGCCTGGAGCTCGCCCTTGCCGAGGTCCAGCGGTGCGGCAGCCCTGAAAGCAATGCCCCCCAAGGGCCCGCTCGCAGCCTCTCTGTTTTGGAGAAAGTCAGTCGCTTCGAACGTCAACAACGCAACGGAAAGCAGCGCAGTCACAGCACCTCACACAACAAGGCCCATCTACGGGTAACTGCAAACAAGATTAAAATATTTCTTCTGATGATCTCAGAAGTGAAAAGGCTTCCTTATGCTTAGCTTCTTTCAATACTTTATGCTTCCTTATTCAGAATCAGATCACAGACAAAGGCCGCAGCGCTCCTTGTGGAACAGAGGACCTCAGAAACATACTGGAGAGAAGCACCAAGGGCATCAAAGTCCAAAGGACTCCGAGCTACAGAGGAGGCAGCAGTGAGCATATGAAACACAGGTAGAGTAATTCTGAAAATACAGATGAGTATATAACTAACTACTGGTCTAAAAAGTGTTGGTTAAATTTCCGTGTGATGTTCAGAACTCCAACAGATCCAGTTTCAGCCCTGCAGAGGAGTCGCAGCAGCTTCCATCTAGATGGATCCAAGGAGGAGGACAGCAGCAAGAACTTACCCTGGAGACAGGAAATCCAAGAGATCATGGCCCCAATGCAGGACACATCCACAAACAGGTCCTTTAACAAGTCATCACAATGGCACATCCAACATCCAACAGCTCAGTGTGATGATCCTGATCCAAGAAATGTCTCTCCAAACAGATCTTACAGGGACTCCTTGAAAGACGCCCAGTCTAAGGTCCTACGATCCACCTCCTTCAGACGGAGGGACCTCACCTCATCGGGCAGTGCCCAGCCTGCTCCAGCTCCTCCTTCTGTCTCCTCCCCTGGCAGCCAGCAGCCTCCACCCGTCCCTCCCAAATACCACTCACTGGAGAAAAAAGGCCCCACGACCATGCCAAAGCCACGGGGCATTGTCATCACGCCACAGTCACAACCTCTGGTCACTTCCGCTCACACACCCAAGGAGAGGCACTTGGTTACTCCCGATGTTCGAGGCTCTAGCCCACCACCCCTCCCCAGCATCCCACCCGTTGGACAGCCTCCTTCACGGCGGATTTGTGGCCGCAAGCGTTTGACGGCAGACCAGAAGAAGCGCTCATACTCAGAACCAGAGAACATGAATGAGGTTGGGATTTCTGACCCAGAGACCATGTCCTTATTCCGGCGTGGAGGAGGTAAGATTTCCAATTTTTAAAAGCAAACTCCTTTTGCCCTTGTGTGGTAAACAAATTATTCAAATGATTCCAGTTTAGTTACTTTGCTGGAAATGCTGAAATCCATTTTTTTCTTTCTCTTCCAGAAACCAGTGTGGCAGACCGTCGGAAGGTGTTTGAACCTGCTGCAGGTTCTGTTGGGAGTGGAGCTTCTCAGAATGCCATATCAAGGCCCGACCTGCGACAAGTGCAGCAAGAAGCTCTCGCTAAGTACATAGAGAGGAAGAGAGGCGTGAGGAAAGATGAGGGAGGACAGAGGAGCATCTCGAGGCCTCGCAGTGCTTATTTTCAGCCTGAAAATGTTAACCATGCAGGTGGGTGCAGGTGCCTGGTAAAGTATCCAGGCAGAAAGGTGGAGCAGTGAGGTTTGATACATGGATAAATGAAAGGTTTAAGTGAGCGGTATAAGGCAAATCACTTTTCCTCCTTTCCTTTGTCTTCAGCCTCCTCCTGTTACTCAGACTCCCTCAGCCTCTCCTCCGCTTCCAGCCTGCTCTCCCTCCAAGACCCATGTCCAGCTTCTCCTCAGGGGGAGAAGCACCCCAACTCAACTCTTCTTCCTGACCTGCGGAGCCACCAGTCTAACTTCTTCTACCCAGGCAGGGTCACCACACCGAGGCCACCAGCTCACCCACCATCAAGGTATGCAAGAACAGGCCCCAGCTGAATCTAATTCTCTTAGTAGCATTGTTTAGGACACTTTGGTGGCTCCCGATTTTATAAAACGTTAAATCTTCTCCTGCTTTCTTCTCTTAGCACTCCTTCTGGCTCAACTCTTGATCAGATCTACCAGGATCTTGTTCCTGAAGCAGAGCTCAGGAGACACAGCCAGTCATCCATCAGAGAGCCGAGCCTGGGCCGTGAACAGCAAGTTGCAGAGCCTCAAGTCAACCGGGGACTGTCTAAGCAGCTCAATGTTGCTCTGCAGAAGGCTGGGTCAGTTCACAAAACAGGGAAGTCAGCCTCAGCTGAGAATCTCCTGGAGCGATCCGAGGACACGCGAGCCCCCCCTCAGCACTTTCGCTCTCGTTCATCCCCCATCATGGAGAGACTAAATGAGGTAACGCTCTGCTCCGCTGCGGTGCTCACAGCGGTTATTGTCGTAAATGTAGAGGCAAGAAATCATTCTTTCAGGCAGACAAGGAAAAAGCAGCCAATCTCGTGCCAGCACACCAGCTTCTAGTTCAGATAGCCTTCTACTCATCCATTTGCCAAATCTCACATAGGAAGCTGCAGCGCATCTACAAGCCACCTCCACCCTACCTCCTCCTCTTCATGAGCTATCTGTCGTATCTGCTTCCTGCTCGGTTCTGTATGGGAGGTCTTCCTTTCCTTTCTTTATGCCTTCCCTGTTTATTTATATGGTGGTCCTTAATTAACTATAATGAACATATAATAAATAAAATTACAGTAATAAGTATATCTTAAAAAATTATCATTTTAGAGATTGATTGTCATTTCTGTAATAGGAAGGATCTTGCAGTTATATGCTAATAACATTGGGACTTTAGAAATAACAAATAACACAGCATCTCACCTTTTCCAGCTTTTTCCCATCACTCTGTCGATCATGCCGACCATCAAGCGTCAGGTTAAAAAGATCAGAAGATGCACATCAAGCGCCCTGCATGCAGCCACCAGCTGTGACATCACAATAAAACAAAGTTTTATTTTCAAACTTCAAGATTCAAAAGGCAGCAGCTGCCAACTTAACCCATTGTGAGATAGTGATTTGAAAATGTAGTGTAAGGATAATTAAACTGTAAGTGAAGTGTTGAAGGTCCATATGTCAAACATTATATTAATCCAATATGTCAAAATAGAAATAATAATATTTCCCAAACAGGAGTGAAACTGTCTGTTATTTTGGTTACATAACTATTAGGAAACAGAGAAACAAAGCCATTTTTACTTAGAATTGTTTAAGTCAATGTTTGCAGATGATACAAATAATATAGCTATAATCAGCGTCTGTCCTAGAGAGGTTTTTGTGTTCCAGCGACTCAGAGAGCACGCTATAATCCAAATATAAAAAAGGGTTTGGGAAAACAAGCAGCTCAGCCTTTGCCAACAGAGACTTCAGCGTCATGTGACCCAGCCCGGTGCTGCAGAAGCCAATGAAACAGGAATGCATTACTTTGTAATGTAAACTGAGTATTTCTGCAGCTTACTTTTAGATTGTCACAGTGAAAGATAAGATAATTCACGCCGCGATAATAAAACACTGCAGTGTTTTGGTGTCTGATAAACCTTCATGAGTCTGTCACTTCGTTCCCTTCCTCCACTTTGGCCTAAAGAGGCATTCATGGACCTGTTTGTATTTCCACTTATTTGATCACATTTGCACCAGAGTCACACAGGAAATAGCCCAAATCCTCAGGGTTTCCTGTGAGGTGCCAGTGAGCCGGGATGGTGACTGGGCGCTGTCTGATGCAGATGATAAGAAACACAAACACACACACACGTGCTTACATGCATCTTAAAGGAATGCTGTAACGGATAAATTCATCCTTTATCTCCTTCAGTAATCAGACCTGCCCGTGTCACATAAACATCATTACAGCTCAGTCCAAGTTGAGGGTTTGAGTTAAATTTACCTCTTTTTTTCCAGAAATCTTTTAATGACAGCCAAAGGCTGGATCTGAAATGTAACATCTTCTAATTACTGAAGCTAGAGGCTAAAATGCAACCTAACCCTAAATCCTGCCTTTAAGTGGTGGATGTTAAGGGGTTAAATTTAAGAACTTTATGTTCCCGGATCGTTGCCGAAACATGCCAAAGGAGAGTTTACAGGTCAAAGTCGGCTTGCTGGAGAGACATCAGTGCATGTGGTCTTAATGTGTGATAAGGTCTGTGGTCAGACTTGTGATCGCTGATGGCGCTGTCTGGGTTTTTCAAACAGCTCAGAGACACAGGAACAGGAGTATTTAGTGTTTCTTGCTAGTCTTGATTTATAAAGCCCAAGAGCTCAAAGAATGGCGTTAAACATGAGAGAAACCCCTTGATTCAGATAAGGATAATTCTACTGTACACACACTGTGATTTATAAGAACAGAATGATTTCATTAAAGTAAATAAAGTGATTACACATTACACCTGGTTACTGCGACTGCAGTAATCAGTTTTGTAACTAAACCATGGCAGACTCAATGACATTTCCATGCTTTTCAGAATTCTTTATTACTACACACACGTTTGCTGTTCACAGCAGCTTCCAGCCACCAGCCGAACACACATCACCAACAACAACACCTGACAGGACTCTTTCTGCCAGTGATGCGTGATTGCAGATGCCGCTCGGGTGCCTCCGCCTCTCCTGCAGTGGCACCGCAGACCATGCCACAAGTTTATTATTATTATTATTATTATTCAGCAACCAGATCAAGGCAGAACCCTTTAATTTATCATCTCCATCTGCATCTAAACCTGGATAATCATAGAAAGAAATTGCAGAAAGCATCTTCTGGAATTTTAATGTCTTAAGTTCCACCAGGTCACCAGGGGCCTGCTTTAAGGTTAGGTTTTACCCACATAGAAACTAGAAAATTTCATTTTTGCTTTTTTGCTTTTGCATTCTCTGTTTTCAAATATTTCCATTTGGGTGACCCTAAAAGTGGAAAAATCTATAATATATAAAAGGTTATTTTGACATTAAGGTGCCAGTGACTCCTTGGATATCAAGAAGTAAAACTGACTTCTTGTACTTGACCTTAATGTGCCAAGGGTTTTTAGAGGTTATAAGCTTTGATTTGGCTAAACATACATACATTAATATGTATGAAACTACAAGAAATTGATTATTCCACTTTCTCTCTTTGTGTTTCAGGACTTCCTTCCAGACGATGTCCGGATGTTTGGCGTCTTCATCTCGGAACATGAACGCTGTGCTCTGGCTGCCGACAGGTACGCCGCGTTTCTATGACCACCATGTCTGGGTTTCACCTGGTGGGTTCTTCTGGTCCTTCATTACTATCTTCCTGTCATATGACCATCAAGGATCCATAACTTTATTTACAAGTACAGCACCGTGCAAGTGATTTCTTGGTCCTCATACAGCCCAGTGTGAGCTCAAGTGGGTCAGACAATCAGTAAAACAAAAGCATAATAACCTAACTTTGCTTGTAAATGAGTAAAAAGAATTCTGCTAAGACAAGAATTCTGCTATTTGAAGTGTCTGAAAGTTTAATCAGTCTTCATCGATGCATAATCAACAAAAGTTAAGATCCTGAACGTCTCTCTGCAGAGCCTTTTCTCTGGCGATTCGTTCAGTTTAGTAGATAAGGTTTAAAATGTGACTAAGGACTGAGGGATCGTGGGAATTCAGGTTCATTGCTGAATGCGGTATTTTAGCTCTCTTCCATAAAAGGCTGTGGACTCTCAGACTGTGCTTGCTTTAGGCTCTTTGCTATTTTAAAATCATCTTGTGCCCAGCTGTTGGCATCACGGAGAGAAGGACACATTTAGGGGGAGAAAGAAGGAAAGGAGGACTGGATATAAAGGATATAAGGGATTGGGGGTGATGGAGGCACAGGGGCAACAGCTAAAGGAGACACAGAGCTAAAGGAGAAGGTGAAAGGAGATATGGGTGAAAGGAGGAACAGATGACATGCAAGAGTTGAAAAGGATGAATACGGAAGGTGGTGGTAAGAAGGAAAGAAGAGGAGCAACTGAGAACCAGTAAAAGTTTAAAAAAAAAAGAGGAAGGAGGGTGTAAGAAGGTTTTACAGCTTTACTTCTTCTGTTCTTTAGAAATGAAACTCCAGGCAGCTTTCTGAAAAGCTTTTAGAGAAAAAGAAGGGAGTATCTGTTGTATGAAATGAGAACAGGCAAGGGGAGGTATAGTATTTAAAGTTGAGAGGAGGGAAGAAAGGGTATAAAGTTACAAAATGAGGCAGAAGATTGGCCTTCTCGGAGTTCAGGGTGGAGAAAGAAAGAGAAGAAGGAGTTAAATAAGGGAGGAATGAGGAGTTTTTAAGAAGCAGGAAAAACTCCCTGGCACTGAGAGGGAAAAATAAACAGAATACCAATTCTTGTCTGCAGGGATTTATTAGTTACAGACATTTAAATATGTTTGCCCTTAAAATGTGAAGGTGAAAAGTCAATCTGAGGAATTCTGAGTGTGTGTTTACACAGATCAGTCTGGTGTCTGGATATAACCAGGAACACGAGGGCAGAAATCCAGATAACTGAGCACAAACAGCTGATAAGATCAAAAGTAGTTTAGATCACAGTTAGGACACTGGATGTTAGGAACAACTAAAGGTCAATAGCACTTTATTTAAACCTGAAAACAACACTTTGCATATATTTTATATTACTTTATGGATTGACAGCCAGTAACATCTCCTAAAGCAGCAGTACTAGTTTCCATCCATTTGTCTTGTGGTTATCTGGGGTCACAGTTCCAGCCAGCTAAGCGAGTTATTTCAGGTCAACTCGAGGCATTTTTAGGCCAGTGTGATCTATAGTCTCTCCAGCATGTTCTCAGTCTAAGCCAGGACTCTCCTACCAGTTAAAAGTGCCTGGAAAACCTCCAATTGAAGACGCCCAAGAGGCATCCTGATCACATACCCACATACATGCTTTAAGAAAACATGAAACACACACAAGTCAATACTCTGACCAGCTGCCAGAAACAATGTTGCAGCTATAAACCACTGCAGACCGAGAAGAATTTTCTCTAATGGTCTTCAGTCGACCTGGAACTTTAATTAAAGTCGATTACTTTATGTCTGCAAGAAGTTTTGTCAAATTAAAAAACCCACTAATGCAAATTCCGTGAATCCAACATCAGTGAGTTTGGCATCCAGTTTTCATAATAATCTATGGTTTACTCTCTGGGGAATAGGAATGACATAAAATGATAAAATAATAATTAAATCATGAGATCATCCATGCAATGCTTTTCTACCACTTACCTGTGTCTGGGTCGCAGAGTCTGCCTCTGCGACCCAGACTTCTGCAGTCAGAGTTACTTAGACCTCCCTCTCCTGACCCACCTCCTCCAGTTCAACACCAAGGCATTCCCCACCCAGGCAAGAAACATAGTCTCTCACGTTTGCCTCGCTCTTCTGTAGGGTCCTCCATCCCATGTAGGAGGAGTCAAGAAAGCATTGTAGTGAGATGCTGAACCACATCACCAATTCCTTTTGATGTGAAGTAGAAGCATCTTTAGTTGGAATCCCTCCCAAATGACTGCGCTTCTCTTCCTATCTAACAGTGGTCCGAAACACCCTTCAGATGAAACTCATTTCTGCCTTCTGTATCCGCGCTCAACATCCGCAGGTTCCAATATATACACGAAAAGCAAATATATTATCCTGAGGCCACTGAACCGGAAGCTCCGGGCTATACCTAGAAATTCTTTCTATAATGAACGGAATCGATGACGGTCAGTTGACCTACTAGAGCTGAACGCTAACCAGGAGCCACTTATTGTCAGATAATAAGATATCCCATTGCTGTCCAAATTTTAAACCAACAAAATGTGCTTAGTTGTAGATATATTTTCAGTACCACTGTTTTCCTCACTTTCTTTATTCTTTTCTTCATGTTTTCCTTTAAGACCTGCAAACGTCCATGTACCAGAAGGCTTCATCTCTCCATCCCAGAACAGCATGAACACCTCCCAGCCCATAGGACCCTCTACAGGTGAGTGAAATTAAAAAAACAACAACATTAAAAAGTGTGAAATTTGCAGCCTTTTTAATTATTATTCAATTATGACACACTCCAGGATTCACTGAATTTAACTCACTAGCCTCCTTGTTTTTAAATCCCAGGCTTCTCCCAAACACCGGTCATTCGTAAGGAACGGCAGAGGAACAGCGAGCGCCAGCGTGCCCAAAGCACCTCCACCTTGGCAGCCTCTGTTGGCCTGCCCTACCCATTGTCAACACCCAGGACTCAGGAAAGAGGCAGCGATGAGTGGCAATCAAGCGAGAGGTTGAGCCAGGCCAATCTGGATGGCATCACTTTCCCTGGCATCCAGCAAGTGAGCGTAGGCAGTGGTGAAGAAAGTAACATTTCTGGTGTTGAACGTGAAAAACAGAGTAGACACAGTTTGAGTGACGCCACCCTGTTACAGGACACCGCAAAGCACACTTACAGAGGCAGAGCCTCCAGTTTAGAGATAAGAGGCGGACTTTCTGAAGAAAATGTAAAACCAGTTTCCCCAGTGACACCAACCTCACCTAAAAGGAAGGGTAGCGGAAGCAGCACATCCTCTCCTCTGCCGTTCTCCCATCCGACTGTCCACCTGTCCTCACTGCGAATCTCAGAGACCAGCCTCTTTGGCTCCGTCAGCCAACAGCAACCTCCCAAAACTTCCACAGGCACACCACTGGAGGACTATGATGAGGTCTTCCTCCAAAATCCTGCACCACCTCCTTCTCCACCTTTTTCTCCTCCAATCAGGGAGACAAACATCACTGAGGATTTCCCTCCTCCACCTCCTCCTGTGGAGCTGGAGCTGGAGGCTAAGGAGGAGACAGTGGGAAGGTTTGTTTTACAATATCTGTGTGTTTTATTTGAAATGTCATTACTGTTGTTTTGATTTTTAAAAATTATTTTCTTCTTCCGTTAATTTTCCCATTTCTCCAACTTTAGTTCCACTTCGGAGTTCTCCACCATTTCCACAAGAAAGTCTTCCCCCCAGTTTTTACCAGTCAGCTCTTCTTCTGTGCCCAGTCAACTTCCTTCAATGCAACCCTCCACCATCACTCCAACCACCACATCTGCCACCACAGAGGACAACCTAAGCCTTGAGTACCAGCCGCTGCCCAAAAGGGAGAAGACATCTGAAGAGCTGAGAGTGGAGGCTCTGGCTCAGCAGTTGGTGAGTGTCTGAAGTCAATTTGTATCTTGCTGGAGAGTCTCGGGACTTTGTGTGTGGAGGAATCATCAGATATTTGGGGCTTAGCAGACAGAGAACAGGGGAAATCTACTTCAAGAGTTCCCATTTTTTAATAGGGATGAGATTTCAAGTAAATATACAATTGGACATTTACTAGGAACTGTTTGACTTTTCTTCAAAGATACCAACCTAGCCTCCCAAATGACATGGAATAGTTTTGGCAGGCTTGTGATGTGGTAGCTTTACCTGATAAAAAGGGTTTTACAAATGTAAAAAGTTGCATAACTTAATAGCATCAGTGACAACCTCAAACCTAACCCTAGGCAAGCGGAATATGACTGTTTTTAAATTGTTCTACAATGGCAATCACAAGACAAAGAAAATAATCTTTCTAACCAACACACACACAAGTCCTCTTCACTTTTCTCTAAAGGGTTAGAGTGGGGATGTCCAACTCATTTCACATTATGGCCCACATAGAGTGCACTTTGATCTTAAGTGGGCCAGAGCAGTTTAACTCCCCTTTTTGTCAGTGTAAAGAAATTTAACTACACTTTTAATCTCTGAGATTTTTTATATAAGAAACACAAGTGCAAAAAATTCAACAATACATCTAAGTTTGTCTTTGTCAGAAAATGTTTCTCTTCAGTGTAAAAAGGTACAGCCAGTATTTATTCCTGGGTCTGGAGTTCACTGCACTGTTTATGGTCTTCAACTGCAACTCCTTTCCCCTCTTTTCCAGTGCAATGCTATGACTGATTTTGAACTACAAGAAATTGTTTAATTTTGACTACCTTTCTTTTTGTGCTTAGTTTTTATTCTTTTCTTTTTTCCAGGTGTTGCAGGACCCCTCTCTAGCGCCCCTCTTGGACACGTGGGGAGGTAAATCCACTATAGAGCTATTGGAGGAGATCTTTCCAAACAGCAAACTGATTGGGAAATCACAATGGACCCACAGAGGCAGCAGCCAAGAGGATGACAGGTAAGCAAACCCTTTTATTTCTGGCTGCATTTTCTAATTTGTTCTTTTGGGGAGTGAGTTTGTACAGAATCAGGGTTGAGGGCGGTCGCGCCCTAAAGCAAAGCCTGCTTTATCATCTATTTGACTCTAAATTGGACCCAAGTGTACAAAAAGAAAACCAAACTCTATTAAATTAGACTTGAAACTACCTATCAAGGCCATAAACTCATCAGGAAAGTGTTTACTGAGGTCATAGATCAAAGGAGAAGGAGGCTCAATTTCTAAGAGATGTCTATATAATCTGACAGGCAGAGTAGCTGCCCCCTGCTGGTCATCTAAAAGAATGCAGGTTTAAGGCACTTTCCAGACACAACAGCTGCCTCCCTCTTTGATACAAAAGTCACACTTCTCAGCTAACATGACTCAAGACTCGTCCTTGAGGTCATTCAACTGAGTTTTATCATAAACCAACAATGGATTTCTTATTTCTGAATATTGAGAGGGTCCCACATATGTAAGCTTTTGTTGCATTAGCTGGTTTGACAAAACCTAAAAATCTGATTCATAATGGATCTCACAATGTTTATGGTTCTCTTTATTTATTTTATTTAATCAGGCTTTCTACTTCAGGATCTGTGCACATCTGCATAATGACAGCACACTCTAAGTGCTTTGAGTTTTTATAATGTCTTTAATAACCATGTCTTTGATTGGTCACATGCTGTCAAATCATCTATTCACGTGAATGGGCTCCTAGCTAGATTAAGAAAGACTGGGTTGGCATATAAAGTTGATAACCAACTTCATGTGACCACTTAGCCCAATATCGGTGTATGTTAAGCCAATTATGAAAATGGGTATGTAGAACTTGCTTCATAGTACAGCGCGCTGGTGTAACCTTTCTAGTTTGTTTATTGTGTCGGCAGATTCACTCAGAATCATTCCCACTCTGATACATCCACTTACACAGAACAAACAAAGGCTTACAATCAAAGATAGTTGGTTCCAAACAGTTGGATAATTACAAGACTGGAGTGCACTAAACAGTCTGGTGATGCTGTTTAAAGTGCTTTATGTAAGGCAAAACTAAAGGCCTCCACAATGACTCTGTTTATTTAGCCTCAAGAGCAAAATTGCACAGAGTGACTTTTATGGGACTGAAGCACGACACGAACATTTTTGGGGGTAATGGACTTCCTGTAAACCAGCATTTATCACCCTTGCTGTGTATGCTGACAGCCTCCTTCCTCTTATCTGCTGCTGTCAAAGCAAAGGAGGAACATTGGGAGCCTCAGCTGTCCCTGCAAGTCACAGCCTGTGATGTCAGTGACATCTCAAGTGTGTTTTGGTTCGCTGGCGAACGCGTTGTTCACAGAAAGAATGAGAAGACAAACAGCCGTTATTGTAGAGGTTGTGCTTTTGAACCTCTTTGATTTTCTCTGCTGCCACACTCCTTGTGAAGTACTCTTAGGGGTCATGAGTGAACCCGGCATCGAATTTATTTCGATTTCTCGAGGTCTTTAACCCTGCTCGAGTGGATGAGGTAACCTGCGGGTTCAAAATCAGCTTCCTTTGCTGACTGAGTGTCAAAGTCAGACAGGTGAGACCAGACAAACCTGATTAAGAGCAGCACAGTTTGGACAGCGTTGTCAACCTACATGAGAATTTCTTAAACATCATTACCTGAATGGGATGGTATGTATAGGGGCTAAAAATATATATTTTTAAAAAGGACAGTGAGTTAAGTGCAAGGTTTAAAAGGGATTTCACAACTAAGAAAACCAAGCAGCTGTTTTTTTTTATACTTTTAGTGGACTTGAAAGGACGCCCAAAAAAACTCAAAATGAGTTGTATAGTGGTGTGCTATGACTTACAAATCGATAGTCACCCACTTACCCCCAACCACTTGGGGCAGGGCTGCCCCTCCCTAGCCTGATTTCATCAGAGGAAAAGGAACTTCTTCATTCCTGCTGTCTGGAATCTGGCATTTCCATATTGGTGCAGTTTTACCAAACTGAGGGACTGCATGTGCCTTTTAATGTTATTTAATAACCAGGATGGTCATACAGGTAGAAAAATGAACCTAATGCATGTGACTTTTTAAACTCTGTGAAACAAAGAGTGTGTTCATCGCTATTTACATTTAGAAAGTTCAGAAATCTGCAATATGAAAATACACTTTGACACAGTGCAAAAAATGTACCTAAAATGTGTCTTAATACTGGATTATTATTACTAATGAGTTCACCCAGAGGATGAACTGCTAGAGCTGATGAAGGTGGGGTTTCTTTTGCCTGTTTTATAAACTCTTGCATCTCTCTGATCCAAAAGAGCTCTTCATATTTTATCTGATTATATTGTTTTAATGGAAAGGCCACAAGTAGGAATAAAACAACTTTTTTACATTTTCCATCTAATCAGCCCTTCAGGCTTATTCCTGCAGCAACACTGACACCTAGTGGTACTGTGTTGCTGGCATAACAGACTGTATCTGGTCAGTAAAATAGCTTTTTCTTTAATGTGAGCCTCCACTTCATCAGCCTGGTTTTTAAATCGACCTTGAAAAAGTGTTTCTGTTCTTTCAAATGCTTTAAAATGGATAAAATACAGGGCTGTCACATCAAAAATATCTGTTTTTTAAATAGTATTGTCATCTTTGTAGGACCCAGGCTGGCATCTGCGATCCTGCTCAGAGCACGGCGGCAGATCAAAAGAAGGAGCCCAATCTGGATGAAGAAGAGAAGGATCTTAACACCAGGAAGGTAAAATAAAAAATAAAAATAATAATTTCTCATTAAAATGTGAATAATTAACAGTGTTAAGATATAATGTAGGTGCACAAACCAATAAATCTGTAAATGAGTCTTATTTTTAAATATTTGCCTAAAATCCCAGCAGCAGAAGGTAAAACTGCCAACTGTTTTCACATTTCTCCTGCTGTCCACCAGGTGGAGCTGTGTGAAGCTCTTAGGAGCAGCGTGGTGGCTCTGAAGCGGGAGAAAGAGGCGCTGTGTGAGGAGCAGAAGCATCACAAGGCGCTGGGGGATAGCATCGACACAATGGTGCAGGACCACCTCAAAACCAACGAGAAGGACAAGTACAGCGTGTTCATCGGTATGACATCAGAGTGATGCTGTGACAAAAAGCAGAAATATGTCATTTTCATTACACTTCCACAGCAGATAGGCTTTAAGGGACCCCAAGTTTCAGACGTAAGTATTTCTATCTTTAGTGGAAAGAGGCTTAATGACCTTGGAGAATAAATAAACAAATATAAAAAAAATATAATAGGACCTAAAATCGAGCCTTGTGGAACACCGCAGGTAATATGAGCTGCAGACAAGGAAATAGGTTCTTTCTAAAAGGTAAGATAAATGTCTTTGACCTGTTTGTTGTTTGCAGGTGATCTGGAGAGGATCGTGAACTTGCTGCTGTCTCTGTGCAGCCGGCTGTCGAGGATTGACAGATCTCTGCTCGCTCTGCAGAGAGACGGGCTGTCGCCAGAAGAAGCGGCTGAAGAGAGGGTGAGACATGCAGAGTCCACCTGCCTGCATCACACCTGCAGTTCTGTGATTCAGGCAGTAAAACAAATGGGACAGTAACTAAATTCAATTCATTTTAGGTTTAGTTTTGCCCTTCATACGGTGACAGTTTTCCTCCATATACCTTTAATGTCTTTGGCACATTGACACTTCAGTGTCTGAAGTGTCTTTATACTAAGTGCCTGATATCCAGATCAAGGTTCTTGGGGGTCAAACCATTTCAGACTGAGTTATGTGATTTATTAGAAGTATATGTAGGCATGTGTGAAAAGAATAATAGAGAATTAGATTTGGGGAAATAAATATGGATAAATTCCAGAAGAGGTGAAATGACTAAAATAAAACAGAAAATTAAGTAAGCAAATGGGAAAAGTAACACAAAGCTAAACTGAAACAAGATGGTAAATTTCTGCCAGATTTTATGAATTAATTTCTATATTTAGTTACATTTTTGACTATTTTAAATACATATAAATATTTATCAGAATCCTGATATTGTCAGTTTTGGTCCTCTATAGGACCAAAACTGACAGTGAAAGGGACTTTAACTTTTGCACCACACTATCTGCCTCCCTGCTGTTTTCCTTATTATTTGTTTCCCTTTACCTGCATGCTTTCAAATTCAATAGAGTCAAAGGAAGACAGTCCAAATTATATATAAAAAAAAGTTTCTTCATTTTTTTGGAAGGTCTGTGAATAATTGTGTTTAATAACCCTGATCTCAATAGTGTGCAGTTCTGCTGTATGACTTAAGCCGTGTCTGTATCATCTCAGATATTAAAAATAGTCCCAACAAAGATTTCAGTCCCAAATATTTTGATATATGAGAGTTTATTTCAACCCCTTTTTCTGAACAAAGGAGCACACAGGAAAAAAAATGAGCTTGAATCAGTGAAGACAATCGATGTTTGACTCTGTTAATGTTTGCTGTATCTTTATCTGCTCTCACCCGACGACATAATAGGTCTAAACTTTTGAGTCAACTCAAAGATGAAATATTAACTTTTACCTCGTGGTTATCTGCTGCCCTGGCCTCAAACTCAGACCAATTCTGGTAAATGTGTTATAAAAGCAGTCAGTTGTGTTCAGTGGTTGTTTTTTTAAGAAGATCAAACAGTTGATTTTATACATCTTATCGGTTGTTTATGAATACTTTAATGAGCTTTTTTTTTTGCAGTCACGTTTAAGAACACTTTGTAAAAGAAAGAAGTTTTCCCATCTGTAGCCACAAGGGGGAGCTGAAGTACTATCCACTTGTTTACCCAGTGCCACTGTTATAAAGTACATGGTAGTGATTTAAAGAATTAAGTCGCAATGTCTTATTGCATTAAGTTCATATCCCCAGGTAACACAAACACAGCAGTTATTAGAGACAATTTCTTTGTATAACAACAGTCCTCTCAAAGCATTTGGTAAAGATAAGGTAAAGACTGCAACACTGGAAAGAAAACCCCAATAATCAGGAGATCCACTGTGAGCAAGCACTTGGGGACTGTAGGGAGAAAGAACTCCCTTCCTTGTGGAGAGGCAACAAATAAACAGGAAAAAATGCAAGCTACAGGAGAGCGAGGACGAGCATTATTGGCATGTGATTTTGAAATATATAAACAAGATAAGATAAGATAAGATAAGATAGAACTTTATTAATCCCTCGGGTGGGTTCCTCTGGGAAATTCGACTTCCAAAAAAAGCACAGCAACGACCGAAGTTACAGTTACAGAATTGTTATATATATATATATATATACACACACACACACACACACACACACACACACACACACACACACACACATATATATATATAAATACAGAGACAAATATAAATAAAATATACAAAGGGGATAAATAGAATAAATAGGAATAAAAAATAAAAATACAAGTGAATTGCACATTTCAAGTATTGAGTCTATTGCACTGTTGACTATTTACAAAAAGTATTGCACAAGGTATTGTACAGTGAGGTGAAGAGGCACTACAGCTTAGTTGTTCCCTCCTTTGTCCTCCTGTTTCTCCTCCCTCTCCCCTCCAGAGAGGAGTTGAACAGTCTGATGGCGTGTGGGACAAAGGAGTTTTTAAGTCTGTTAGTTCTTGTCTTGGGGAGAAGCAACCTGTCACTGAACAGACTCTTCTGATTGTTTATGGCCGTGTGCAGAGGATGCCCAGCATTGTTCATAATGTCCAGCAGTTTCTTTAATGTCCTTTTCTCTGCCACTGTCACCAGAGTGTCCAGCTTCATGCCGACCACAGAGCTAGCCTTCAAAGAAGATATATAGATGTATGTGTTTGATATATGTGTTTGTTTTCCTCTTCCTCAGGACTCCCTTAATCACAAGCGCTCTCTCCTCCTTCGCCAAACCGAAGACGCTCGAGAGCTGAAGGAGAACCTGGACCGGCGGCAGCGCGTGGTACACGCCATCCTGTCCAGTTACCTCAGCGAACCCCAACTCCAAGACTACCGGCGCTTCGTCAGCACCAAGCCCTCCCTTCTGATCCGCCAGCGACACCTGGACGACCTCATACGACGGGGAGAGGAGCAGCTGACGCGATTGGCCGAGAGCCTACCAGCAGAGCTGGCAGAGGCCAACGGCTGGCCCGCAGCAAGCCCCGTGCCCTGCTCTTCTTTGTTTCCACCACTGCTTCCACCCGCTGCAATTATAAGCCCTAGCCACGTGGTCAGATCTACCACTGTGACATCACTGTGACATCATGAACACGAAGGACAGGTAGCACCATAAAAACTGAAGGAGCTTTACACGAAGGATGCCCCAAAACAGGCTCCGCCCATTTTGAATTGACTATGCAGACTTCACACATGAAGAAAAGCCTTTAATGTGCCTCTTTCTGTTCACGCCTGACTGCACATTAGGCCTCTGTTCACCTCAACGCCAGCAACTAGACAATATTTCTAACCACACTCTGCTGGTTGAGTGATTTTAAGGTCAGAGGATTACCAGGAAAGTTTATCATCAAATCCTTCAAAGGACAATTCCAGCATGGTGGATGATTTTCTCCATTTTTTTAAACACTTAGACCTCTTCTGCTTTTTTTGGGGGGGGGGTCTTGTTATATATATCCTGCTTCAGTGATGGATTAAACATGGCCAAAGTTTCACTTTCACATAGGTTTTTCTACTCTGGGATCTGTATGGTGTCATAAAGACGGGATACCCAGTGTTTCCCACACATAATCCTTCTTACCCATTTCTCAGTTTGTACTTCCTCACCTCTTCTTCTTGCATTTTAGTTCCTTCCACCAGAGAACCGAAAAGAGAAAGTGAGGAAGAGACACAAAGAAAGGGGAAGAACAAAATGAGGCACTGCTGCTTTAAAGCGTTACACATGAAATGTGGCATATAGTTCATACTGATGTATTTTACACAGCAAGCCTTCATTTTCTTATCAAAAAAAATCCACAAAAAAAGGAGTGCTGGAAGTGCAAGTAATGCGAGGTACATGAAGAGACAAACAGGACTATTTATACACACTCAAATGTATATAGTCCTGAGGCACAGGTGGGAACAGTCACACACAGGTGAAACTCATGAGTGCAGGGCAGGCAATCTCAAAAGTGGAAGTAAAACCACAACGAGACACACAAAGACACACAAAAGACAGACGTAGCTTCCAGGTTTAAAAAGTAATGTCAACACACAAGTGCCTTAAAACTGCTGAGACCTGTGTAAACATTTTCCTGATGAGTTTATGGGCTCAGTCAAAAAAAAAAATCAAAGCTTCAAAACATGTGACACCACGGTGGCTACAGAAAACGGGTCATAGCCAATTACATAAAAAACACTGAAGCAGAAACACATAGAAAGAACAGGAAAATAACACGCTGGATTTATGAATGAATGCTTCAGTGTGGAGCTTTCAGGCATAAAACACTTGTGTATCCTCACTCTGCTCTGACCTCCAGATGTTTTTTAGAAACTGGGACATTCTTCAAGATGGTTCTGTTAGACTGATTTCCAGGTCAGGGCAGGAGGAGAATGCACAAAATAGAGCAATGAAAAACCCTGTAGACTATGTGTACTCAGGTTAGGGTTAGTATAGTTAATATACCATCCATGGTATAGTTACTAGTGGACAATCTCCTTGCTTTTCTATTCTGATTTCATTCAGCTGCTTCTCTGTAAAGGGTGTTATCCTTTGTTTAGATGGGCTTAAACTCCACCACCTGCAGTTGTTGCAAGAGAAAGAGCTAAATCCACTTGTTACAGGCAGAGTTGCCCCAGTATAAGACAAATAAAGATTATTTTAAACTGTGAATTATGCAAAGCTACTCTAGTAGAGCCCAAGAATAAATCATATGGAGGTAAATTAAATATTACTACACTGGAATTGTCCTTTAACTGACTGGTGATACTTTCAGGAGCCTCAAACATTCAGACCTTCCTCCATGAGGTCTTTCTATCTGATAGCTGGTGCACATGAGCAGTTACCTCCCAAAGAGAAAGCACCACCATCTTTAAAAGATCATCATCTTCTCCATCTTTCCACAGAGCCTGCCTCACTCTCACATCACCTTAACCTTAATGAACACCAAAATCAGAGGGACTATGATCTCGTTTCACTGGACAGAAAGCAAAAAAATCCTGAAGACGAACTGTAATCGTCACTGTCATGTTAAACTGTAACACAACTACTGCCACTGCTGTCTGCACATCTGCAGCTTGTAGCACTTTGTAGCAGTCCCACTGCTGTTTGCAGCAGAAATCACACTGACCCATAAACACTGTCGTATGCCTCTCATCAAGTCTGACGCTTCACGATTCCAAAGACTTTCACAGGCTGAGATTTCTTCCAGATTTCATCTTGGTTCAATTTTGGACTTTGGAGGGGGTTTTTATGTCAGAAATGTTGCCAGCTACAGTAGTCACCTTAAAATCCACTGATTTCCAACAGATATCAACTTAAAAAAGAATAATCGGAAAAATAACCCAAAGATATTTAACTTTGTGGTGCTGAGAAGAAGCAAACCTTTACAGTTGAGAGGTTGTAATGTTCTAACTTTCGGATCATTTATAGAAACATTTTCAGTTCCAGGAAACCTTTAAATTAACAATATGTTTCCCACTATGTAACATGACATTTTATTTTAATTATCCTTCTTTCAGAACGACTTTCAGTTTCATAGAAAACTGAGAAACATATTTTTAAACTCCTTTCAGTCCAGCTCTCTCAGAGAAAAGAAAGACCCACACTGTAAAACCTTTAGATGCCAGATTTGCCTGTGCATCAGTTTCTTCTCTTATCCATCCATTCATTCGTTTTCTGCCACTTATCTGAGTGCAGGCTGTGGGAGTAGCAGTCTGAGCTCTCCTCTCCCTGGCCCCCTCCTCCAGCTCTTCTATTAGCCAAGACATCTAATCTCTCCAGTGCATCCCGGGTCTGAACCAGGCCTCCTCGCAGTTGGACATAACATAAAACACCTCATTTAGGTGGAGGAGGCATCGTAGTATGTCATTTAACCTCAGCTCTTTCTCCCTCTCTGCCTGATACCGAAAATACCCGTAGCCTTACTCTGTGTTGAATCCAACATCCCTGTGCTGACGTTTTGACACAAATTCAACTGGTGGCTGTTTTTTTTTTAATTGTTAATCTAAAACTGTCAGGATGTAGGACCTGAACTTTTTTGGCCTTTGAAGCCAGGCGTCCCTGGAAAAATTTGAAATATGAGTTTGGTTACTCACTGAGATTATTTCTCAAGCTGTGTTTACACACGTACCTGAACAGAGATGTTCAGATTTAAAACATTATGGTGGTAAAACTGACTTAAAATTGGTGGTGTGTCCCTTTAATTCTGTTTCAGTTGACCCCACTGACTTCTTACTTAAATAAATTTAGGTAATTTTTTTTTTTAAACACAGAAAATGTGTTGTCAGGTGAGTAAAGTACAAAAGGAAACAAGTGCAAAATGGTGACCTTTTTATTTTTAATCCTTACATTTTTTCTTTGTTTGATACATTTTTGTCATATCTAGGCTTCCATAGTCCTCTGTGACTCATTGGAGGATCAGGTTTATAAACTTTTCTCACCTTGCTGTATAACAGGCACCATTTGGCTTCCCGTCCCTTCATACAGACTCCGAATGGTTTCATTTCTGCAGTATATGATATTTATTTGCTTCTGATCAGTGGCGGGTTTTTGACTTTTATTCCACGCCTACGTGTTTAGTTTTGAGAGCACCTTTTAAATATTCTCCAAGCAGTACAACACACACACACTGCCGCATGCCCTCCTCTATAACCCCAGTTGTACTGTTGATTACTGTTTATTTTCAGAGGCACTAAAGAATATCTCGAAAAGATTCTGGTTTATTGTTGAATGAAATTCAATGTTTGTTTTCTGAAAGACTTAAGAACAATAAATAAAAAGTAACAACTTTTTTTTTGCTAAATAAATGTTTTTGTAAATACTATCAGACTCTTTCTTCTCATCCTGTTGACCTGCACACACGCACACACATATAGATGAATATCATCACTGCAGTGGAAATAAAGTTAGAAAGAATCGGGATATTTAAATGATGTAAAACAGCAGCAGGCGAGCTCTCGGACCTTTTACAGAAACCTGCTGAAGTTTTAGCGCTTCCCTGTCTGCAGTACTATAAACACATGATTATTATCACGGCTTTACTGCACATTTGCTTCCTGAAATAGGAGCTCACATCTTCACTTCATTTAGATCCTCAACACACATCCGGGTTACCTGCGGGGATGCAGCAGGTGAGAATGCGGTTAAATACCTGGGGTGGGCGGAGTTTATTCTGGTCTGACAGAAACAGCTCCTGACCTTTGGGACTAACAGGGCGGGAGAGAAAGAGAGGAGCTGCATAAGGCACTAATCGGAGCGCAATGGCCTCGGAGTTCACTCAGGACGCGGTGCTGGTGTTCCTCCAGAGCCGCGGAGGCACAGTGAAAAACTCCGACCTGGTTCTGCACTTCAAAAACTTCATTCGGGATCATGCGGACCAGGACCGAAACCGAGAGCTCTTCAAGAAGTTCGTCAACTCCGTGGCCACCGTCAAACAGCTGGACGGAGTGTCTCATGTGATCCTCAGGAAGAAGTTCAGAGGATATGTCCCAGGTAAGGGGGCTGAAGTGGGCTCCTCCGACCCTCCGTGCGTCCCGGTCGGGAAGAACGCCGAAACTGCCGCTCCTAACAAGCCGCGACAGAAACCGCAGCAGAAAGAAGCGACTGCACCCGCCCCGTCGGGAGAAACTGCAACGAAAACAATCCTACCTGTGGCTGGCCTCGTCCTGACCAACAACAACAGCGTGCAGGAGAATTTAAACCTGAGGCAGCAGCAGGTACACCAGTCTATACAACCAGTGACAGCACAGGTAGTGAGTCACAGCCCACAGACACCACAGCTGAAGACACCAAGTCTGCCCACGCCTCCTGCTCTCGATCAGGCTTCTAAAGTGGGGCAGGGGCAGCGGAGAGTGGGTTTTGGTCCACCTCCTGGTGTCACACCTGCACCTCCTCACAGAGCAACCAGCCCGGGGTCAGAGGTCCTCACAGGGCAGAGGCAGCCAGAAGTGGGTGTTCATGCTCAGCGTGCCCCCCGACGGGCGGGAAACAGGCCAAGCTACAAAACTGCTGTGAGCCAAGATGATGAAGAGGAGAAAGAGGAGGAGATCACAGTGACGCAGATTTCAGCAGGAGGAACGCGGCCCCCGAGCGCTCTGCTCAATGCCCCGGGGAGGGTCACGCCTGCTCCTTCTTCAGGCCAGAAGAGTTACAGTCAGGGTACTGAGGGGCAAATGCTCACCCCTCGGAGTCCAACTAGGGTCATTCCGAATAACAGCAACTTTGACCTGAGACAGCAGCAGGCACACAGTGCACCTGACCACTCTGTGCGACCAGTGTCAGCACAGACGGTGAGTCACATCCCACAGAAACCACAGCTAAAGACACCCAGTCTGCCTACACCTCCTGCCCCAGATCAGGCATCTAAAGGGGGAGAGCTGAGAGGGGGTTTTGGTCCACTTCCTGGTGTCACACCTGCATCTCCTCATAGAGAAACCAGCCCGGGCCCTGAGGTCCTCACAGGGAGGAAGCAGCCAGAGGGGGATGTTCACCCTCAGCATGCCCACCGAAGAGCAAGAAACAGGCCAAGCTACAAAACTGCTGTGAGCCAAGATGATGAAGAGGAGGTCATAGTGACGAAGGGTTCAGCAGCAGGAGCGCGGCCCCCTAGTGTTCCACTCAGTGCCCCGGGGAGGGTTACGCCTGCTCCTTCCTCAGTCCAGAGGAGTTACATTCAGGGTACTGAGGCCCTCAGAAGGGGGCCCCAGCCTCCAGAAGGTGGTCTTCATCAGGAGCCTCCTGTGCCTCCACAGCTCACCCAAAGGCGTTTGAAGCACAGACAGAGCTATAAAACTGCTGTGAGTTATGATGAAGATGACGTAGAGGAGGTCCCCATGAGGCGAGGTTCAGGAGGAGGAGCGTGGCCACTGAATGTGCCGCTCGGTGACACAGTGAGGGCCATGTCTTCCTCATCGCCATGCATCATAGACACGCCTGCACCTTCATCTGTCCCACAGATTTACATCCAGGGCGCTGAAGGGGAAAAGCTCAGCCCTCACTATCTAGGTTTGAGGGAGGAAACTGCAGGCCCTAGGCTGGAACTGGGCGAGACCACCAGACGCAGCCTGCCTTTGGAGACGGCACTCCACCACAACATCCAGCAGGGCCACCAATACTCACCACTCTCAAGGGAACCCAAACCAGGGACCAATCAGAGCGACGGACCGTTGATGTCGTCCAGCCACAGCAGCATCTACTCGCCCTCGTCCGCTGGCGGCTTCCACAGCACCAAGTGGCCGGCGTCTAACTCCACCAGAGAATTGGGATGGACCAGCAGCTCCTCGGATCTGCAGATCAGAGCAGGTACGCTAGCAGGTCTTTTTGTTAATGTTAGCTGGTTAGAAGCTTGTCAGTATTAATCCACCACTGAAAATGGTCCCCCATCAAAATCACTCTTTCCCCGGTCTCAATGACTCCCCCTGACTTTGTCAGCGATAAATGTTCTCAGGAGAACCTCCTCACTGTCATACACAGGCAGAAATGTGGAAACTAATGCAGAAAGTAAATGAAATTAAATGAATATGTCAAAATAAATGACTACTAAATCAGTTTAAAAATCAATATAGCTGAAAGTTCAATACAAAATAAAATAAAGAAATATCAACTTATGTCACAGTTTATAGATTATTGCCTCTATTTATTTTTAATATTAATTTTGGTGCATTTAATTACATTATGAATTTTCACTTTTCACTGGATGAAAAAGTCAAGCTCTTATGTGACACATGAAAAACTTATATGTATGTAAACAAGCATCTAGATCTGTGTATTTATTCATTTATTGATGTTTAATTTATTTCATTACCTAATACATTTGCTTTTGTTTGTTACATTTTAGAAATTATTATTGTAAAATTACTCACGGCCACTTTATTAGGTACACCTGGGCCAGACCCTTCAGAGCTGCTTGAATTTTTAATGGCTGAGATCGAAAAAGGTGCTGCAAACTTTCCTCAGAGATTTCAGTTCACACTGGCACGATGACATCACACAGTTGCTGCAGAACTGTCAGTTGCACATCCATGATGTGAATTTCCGATTTCACCGCATCCCAAAGGTTCTCTGTTGGATTGGTCTGGTGATGAGTGAGGCAATTTGAGTACAGTTATATATTAGAAAATGAGTTTTGTGACACGGTCCATTATCCTGCTGGAAGTATCCATCAGAAGATAAGAACATTGTGGTGATAAAGGGAAGGGCAAGCAATGCTCAGGTAGGGCATAGGGTTTAAATGAAAATCAGTTGGTACTAAGGAGCCCTAACTGTGCCAGGAAGATATCCCCCTCTAATTTCATCCTATTTTAGTGTGCCTGTGTGAAGTTTCTTTTTTTCTTAGCTGATGGGAATGACTCTGGTTCTGCCGCTGCTTCAAGGTTTGACGTGTCTGCATACTGCATACTTGGGTTGTAACATGCTGTTATCTGACTTACTGTTGCCCTCCTATCAGCTTGAAACACTCTGGTCATTCTCCTCTCACCTCTGGTATCAACGAGGCATTTTCACCCAGAGAACCGCCGCTCACTGGATATTTACTCCCACTAGATCAGCAGTTATTGAAATACTCAGACCGGCCTCGTTCAAAGTCGCTTAAGTCACCTTTGTTTCTCATTCTGATCCTCAGTTTCATCTTCAACAGCTCGACTTTACCGTTTCTACATGCTTAAACATGTTACATGCTGTACTTGATTGACTGATTAGATGTTTGTATTAACAAGCAGTTAAACAAGTGTGCCTGACAAAGTGGCCGAAGAGTATATTAACACAAACAAGTGAAAATGATAGATTGTCCTTCTATTTGTTACAAAATGTTACTATACAAATCATATTTGATCTATATCATTTACCATAATCACAAGGGGATGTTTTATTTTTTTTTTAATTAAGTAAAGACTCCTGAGCTAGTCATTCATTTAGGCCATTTAAGATTCTGACAGTTGTGGTCCTCCATACTGTTCAATTGGTAGGAGAAGAGTAAATTTAAAAAGAAATTTAAAAAAATGATCAGCTTAATAGTCAGAAGTGATACTTAATTTTTTTTAAAGCTTTATTTATTTAATCCAACAGTCTTTTATTTATTTAAAACTTAAAACATAAAATAAGTGATTATAGCCTGAGACACACTTATGGGGCTTTTAATAGTACATTTTCGCAAATTGATAAGAAAATGATTACATTTATTATATTTATGAATGACAGATTTTTGTCAGTTTTGGTCCTCCATACATTTTAGCTACGTCAAAGTTCATCTCAGTAATAGAGTCCAACTCATGCCTGACACATAATGAACAGTATGTACTTAAATAAGCTGGCGTCCTTAGTTTGGGTTTCCTGTGTATGCACCTCTGCCCGAGGTTCATTAAGCAAAAGTGGTAATCCAGCTGTTGACTTGTCTCTGTAACATTTCCGTGAAAACAGGTGTGCCTGTAGGCGTGGCCAGAATCCAGGGAACTGTCAAACAAACCAAAGAGGGTATGTCGGACTCCATGATGAGTCGTGCTGACACTAAAATAGTGCCTTGGCATCGCTCCACCGGTCAGCTCTATGACGAGCAGGAGCCCTCAGCTCGTTCGTCACCGCTACGTCGCTCCACTGACCAGCTCAACGAGAACCAATCCTCTCCGGGCCGAGTGGCGCCGTTTTATCTTTCCACAGGTCTGACCCGAAGTTTAAGTTCCCTATTCACTTCTAAGCATTTAAAACAGCAGTTTCTGTCCTTTATCAGCCCTGTTTTTCATGTTCAAATTGGTTAATTGGAACAAAATTTTAAGTAATATCTTTTCAAACTTGCCTTTACTTTCCCACCTGCACCATAACCATCGCCTGGTGTCCTTTATCGCTGGGTGGGAATCGATGATTTATACCACACTGAACGCTTCCCTCTGTCTAAAAGGTGATCTCTGTGATCGTGAAGACGCAGTGTCAAGCGATGACTCCGTCTCTTCACCTTACCTGCGGCAACGCCCTGGTGCCACCAACCGGATGAGCACCAAACAAAGGATGTCCCTCAGCATGGGAGCCGACCTGGACCAGATTCTTCAGGGGGAGGCAAGGGAAGGAAGAGGAACCGAGGAGGCTCGGAGGAGCCGCCTCCACCGGATTTCTTCCTCGCTCAGCCTCCGCCACAATCTGTCGTGCTCCTCATTATCATCCTGTTCCACGCCGCCTCGAAGCCACAGCCTCGCCAGTCTGGACGAGCCAAAAGGAGAAAAGATGAATCTATCTACAGAAGCCTCGCCCTCCTCCAACCACCGTGACAACCACGGTCGACATGTAAGACTTATTAAAACTAACAACTGTGATTAACATAATCACAAGTATTAATTACTGTTCACCTGTTCATAGGTTACATGCTTTCAGCATAGGATATTAAACCTATACTCTCCTTTTGCCCCACACATATCATATAATACACGATGAGGCTTCATTAATTAAAATTATGTGCTCCTGTCATCAGTCGCTGGTTCCTTTGGAGCCGAGGGAACATACCTGGCTGGTTAAGGCGGCGGCGGGCAACTGGCCGGAAATCTACACCCTCTTCAGAGAGGAACCGTCCCTCCTCAACAAAAAAGACTTCATCTCAGGCTTCACTGTACTGCACTGGATTGCCAAACACGGCGACCACCGAGTCCTCAACACTCTAGGGTACGCAGCAAACTTGTGACCTATAATTAGGAACGTCTGAAGTACTTGTGCGGATTAGTGCTAGTTTTGTCTGCTCAGGTTTAATAGTGGAAGGTAGACCAGTGACCCACTCATGACTCTCTTGTGTTGACAGCAGCGTTATAAAATCTTTAATGTGTTTATTGTTTATAGATGATAAATGGCACTCATCCATCATCCATTTTCGGTTTCAGGTATGGAATTGAAAAGCACTCTCTTACCTTCGACGTAAACGCCAGGTCTAACAGCGGTCACACGCCTCTCCACATTGCTGTCATGCACGGTCACAAAAACATCATTCGGTTGCTAATCAAGAAGTTCCAAGCTAATGTGAAGCAGAGAGACATGGCAGGTAAGAGACCATGGCAGTACCTGAGCCTCGACGCGCCACTGGAAATGTTCCACTTGCTCGCAGCGCCGATGCAGGACGTTATGTCAGGAAAGAAAGGTGTCGAGATGGCAAACACCAGCTGGGAGCAGCAGCAGAAGCAAAGCCGCCACCTGCGTCACCATGCCTCCTCAGCTTCAAGAGAGAGCCCGCTGACAATTGCGAGTAGAACGAAGGTGAAACGGGCAACCTCACTCGCTGCGTTGCTTAAACACAAATCGTTAATACGATTTCAAGCAAATCAGGTGAACTCCTCAGCTTAAACTTCAGGGTTAAGCTTGTTTCAAGAGTCTTGCAACATGGAATAGTCAGAACAGCTAGCTGGTCCGCGGGTCTTAAAAACTACCAAGACAGAGATTAAGAAGCAGCTAACTGTTTGTCACACTTGTTCCTTTGTCATATGCTTGGGCACCAGCAGTGATTCTCATACAGTAGTGAAAAATATTTCCTTTCCTGAAACCAGCAAAAACTGCCAGAAACTATTAAAAGAACAAGCCATGCTGATTAGGCCACTGCATAATTCACTTTAATATAACTTTACAGTGTTCACAGTAGCAGTCAATGTTACCACCTTATTAATTATCTAGCTATTTAACACAGAAACAAGTATTAAATAGACACAATGACATGACAATGACTGCATGACATCATGTGAAAAAACCTCAATACCTGCCTGGGGAGTGGTTAAACCTCTTTTGGAGAAAAAAACTCAACACACCCTCTGGTGGTAATGCTGGTAGTTCCTAAACACGCATTTTTAAGAATGATCTTGTTTTACATAAAGAGCAGTGTCATACCAATAATCGCCCTTTCTTTCAGTGAAACTGAAAATATGCAACAGGATAAACAGGATTTCTTCACAGTGGATATATAGAACTGCACATTTTCAGGGTATGTAGGACTTGACTGCCTCCTCTCTCCTCTGTGAAGACCTTTCTGAACTATAAAACCCTATAAACAGATAAATCAGCTCTTTCAACAGCAGCTGTGAGCTTTGCTTTTAAAGCCTCATTTGTAGGTCCTTTTCTGCTGTTGATTGTTGGAAGCCTCTCCAACTGGATAAATATGCCGTATAATATTTCACCACTTATTATAACAAAAGAGAGATTAGTTTTTTGAAGGCCAAAACCTTGAGCTCAGGCCAAACAACTGCAATAAAGAGAATCATGAGTTTCCATGGCAGACTTTGAATGCCTATCAAGAGATTGTATCACAAAGAAGCTGAAATATGATCTAAAGAATGCGATTGTTTAAGCGGGGATCTGATCTGCGAGCGCTTGACTGGTTTTCAGCATGACTTTATTATCTTGCAGTTGTGACAGGAGAACATACAAGGTGTACGTTTACAAGCTGCAGGCTAACAGGAGAGACAGTTCCAGTTTCAGCCGTGATTCATTTACTGATACTTATTTAGAGTTTGGAGTACACACCGCTGCTTTGTTAATGTCTGTTTTACATTCCTCCTGCTGTTTACACATCATCCATCAGTTTGTTCAGTGATTCCCCCCCCCCCCCCCCCCCTCCTCTTTCTTTTAACCAGTGTTTAGTGTGACTTCATAAAGATATTGTAGACAAATCAAGAATTAAAGTCACTCAGAAAACAACTTGTGAATTAGATTGGCACAAATTAACTGCCTCCTAGGGAGTATGCATTTGTGTTGTTGATATGAACCCATAATAATGTTTAACAAAAATAAGCACATATACCAAAATGTCAAATTCTTCCTTTAGCTTACAACTTTGTCTGTATTTTCTGAGTGCCAATAATCTACACATTTAATTAACATTTGCATTATTTTTTCCACCTTTTTAATTTGACTGTTTTCATGTTATGTTGTTGTCAACATCTGCAGTTTGGTTTTCAGTGGTTGCCAATTTTGACTGGTGACCATTGGCTTGACATAGCTACTGGTAGTCAATTTAAATTACTAATGTCACTTGCTAATGCTAGTCTAACATGACCACTGGCTTGAGGTGGGTAAGGCTATTTAATGTCAGCTAACTTTGGCTGTTAGCTTAGTGTTATATTTGGTTGAAAAGGTTAAAATTGGCTATTATCAGGTCATTTTGATTACTAGCCTAGTAATGACCATTAGCTTGAAATTGTTATTGCTATTCAATGTCTGTTAATTTTGGATACTAGTCTAGCATGACATTAACTTGAGGTGGCTAATAGTAGCTGTTGTCAGCTAACTTCAGCTGCTAGCCTGATATAACTATTTGCTTGAGCTGACTACTACTACTAGTTGAGCTAATTTTGGCTGACCCCAGGGTTTGATGCGACCATTAGCTTCAGATGGCTAATACTTGCTCATATATTCATTAGCCTGAAGTAGTCAATAACAGTTAACATTAGCTAACTTTCTCTCCTACAGTCCCTGAAAAGCTTTGAAAAGTTGTACTTTTATCTAAATTTACACTTTTCTGCATTTGTTTATACTTTTGTCACAGTTGAACTGAAGTTGTAGCTGGTGGATAGGGGACAAAATTATTATTATTATTATTATTTATATTAATTACTGTGACAAAGTATAATCAATGTCACCACTTTGTTTCTTTTCAGTTTATCAGTTGTCAAAGTGAGACTGATTATTATTTTACCCAATTTCTATCGTGAATATGTAACGTTACAAAAAAACAGATTGTATGAATGAGTGAATGTTAAATGTGAAAAAAAAGTTTACAATTATCAAGTAAAAATGTAAAATTTGTACTGGACATCTTTGACATTTTGCTATATGTGCACCACCACCAAGTATCACAATTTCTCTCATAAACACTTTGTGTTACACCCTTTTTAAATGCTTCTTAGCAGACCTTCCAGAGGAACTCAAGAAACTATTCAAGAAATTAAAAAAAAAAAACTGATGGAGAATTTGTAAAATGCTGAGGAGGAATTTGAAGTTGAGGCGGTGTAAAACATGTAAAAGCACAAGTATTATCCTTTCACAACCACCAGGGTACATTACATTTGACTGTTTTGTTTGTAAATTTGTCTGTTGTTTACTTTGACAGATGCACATTATATTTTTAATGCCACTGAATATTAAATATGTTTCACAGTTGGATATATGTTTTTTGTATCTATATTTGAAAGGCCTGATGAAGGTCGAGTCTGAAATGTTGCAATTAAATATAAATTCTGCAAGTCAGATCGCATGCTGGAGTGTGTTTGTGAAACATTGGTGTGAGGGTTTCTGTTTCTGTGTTTCAAGACTGTTCTTCATGCTTGTGGGCATGTTCAATCCTGATTTGTTGTGTTTTTGTTGTGTTTGGGTGGGTATGACTGTAATGGGGACTTGAAACCTGCTTAACAGTCACATTATGCGGACTTAAAGGAAATTAATATTAGTCAGGGTTCAGGGTGCTGCTGTTCTTGTAGCTGTAAAGGCAATTTTTTTTTAAATCCTCTTTGAGGATTCAAAACATGACTTTTAGATTATGTAATGTGGGTATTTCAGTAGAAAGAAGTGTGTATGTAAGTGTATGTGTGGTTTTTGTCTGAACAAGCTCAGCAGCAGAAAGTCCCTTCCTATATAACCGGTCTGACCTGTAGCATTATTCCACTCCATTTCAGTGTCTCATAATACACCCAGCTGGGATATGTTATTGCCAAAGTTATTTACTATAAATTTGTGAAATCATGCTCCATTTGTCCTTCCCTACGTCATTCCTGTTTATCCAAATTTAAACTCAGCAAGTGTGTTGGTGGGGACTTGAGTAAGTTTGGTGCTAAGATTGACGTCATTTGGATCAGTGGTACTTTTATTTTGACAAAATAAACTCACAGGCATGTTTCTTCTTTGACATTAATGCATTCCCAAGCTTTTCAGCCCAAAGTTTAACCCTCAGTGAAGTGCCAAATCCTTACAGTAAACCTAACCTGTGAAAAATGAAGCACACCCCATGATTCAACAGCTTGTAGAACCACCTTTAGCAGCAGTGACTTAAGTAATCATTTTCAGCTTTCTCCACTCCCTCATCAGCAGCCAGGTCCAGGAAGAGGAAGATGGTGGAAAAAACAGAAACAAAACAAAGGGAGAATAAGTCCACCAATGCCAGAGAGACTGAAACAGTGCGTCTACCATGACGCTGTTCTGCCCTTTGATGTGATGAAGTTACAAGAACTCAGAGACTAACCGAGAGCTCGAGACAATACAGGGAACAAAGGTTAATGGCCTGTAATGACACCAGAGGCACAGAGCACACGAGAAACAAAAGAAAACCTGGGGAGGGCCCTCGTTTTAGTTTGGACTTGTTTCAAAGCTGCAGGTTTATGTGTGGGAGATCTCTGTTTGAGCTGCTTCCCTTTTATCTGTGTGCATACATGTGTAAAAACTAATCCGTGCAGCCTTTGCTCTCACAGCATTTTACAAAGTTCTGATTCTGGGACAGAATATAAGCTGGGCGGGGGGAGTGAGGAGGGGAAATCTCTTAAATATGCTGAACCCTTTTATTCTGGGATAATCAGCTGAAATAGTCTTAAGTTTTAAGGGATCAAGAACACAGTCCTCTGGGTCTTTTTGTTCCTAATATCTTGTTGCACGTGTTCTGAATGTTGTTTTCAAACCGCCTTTGTAGTTTATGTCACAGGTTTTATCTTTGCAACCTGATGAGCTAGGTCCTGCTGATACTACACGCTTTAGTTGGTTGTGCAGAAAGCACGTTTTTTATTCTTGAGTCAGTCTGCTGCCATGTTTGCTACAGTTCCAGCTGTGGAAAATTGAATATAGAACATTATTCAGTCTATTTGTGGATATATCATCTGTTAATAGATCTTCATTCCTGGTTTCTTTGAGAACATCTCTGGCTGAAGCAGATGGCACTCACTTCATCTGTGTTGTCCAGAAGAGTCAAATGATCGATGAGATGCTCTCCTTTTATGTGAGCGTGAGAGACGGTAAGAAAGATCACAAAAAGTCAGAGTTAACAAAGAAGGTTGATAACCATGGTGGGGTTTTAGGTTGGTTCCATCAAGCCAGCTAACACAAAGAAAACCTGTCTTCATCTTTTAAAGCACCTCAGTTTTCTGCACTTTATTTTACTTTCCCGTCTCTATTCACCCCACCAGCTCATCTTAAATCCTGAAACCTTCCCTAGCTATATCAAGTGTACTAATGGACAGATAGTTGATCCAAGATCTCCTAGCAAAAGCTTCCCTGAAGCAGACTCAGAGCTTGTGATTTATTACACCAACAGTACCTTCTCTGATTATCCCATAGGTCACCATATATTTAAGAAAAATGGACCCTTTTCCCGTTTTAATGTTTACCATGTCAGTGCGACCCACCTGGGCTTTGCTTTTGAATGTGGCAAAAAAAACAAAACAACCCAAAATGTTCAGAAACAAGATGACGATGGTAGAGGTTACCTTTCAAATATATCTTATACTTTGATTTTTAGTGTTGAAACGACATCAGGAGCTCGCCTTACTGCTTCTATAGCAAAGCCAAAGATCTCCGACAGCTCTGGGTATAACACTGTCCTTTTTTGCAGTTTGTGTGAAAGTAATCTGGAACAAATGGAAGACACAGCACATGCTCAGTTTCATATTCTTTATTTACTGGTGCCGTGGTGCGTTCAGGGACCTGGCATGGCCACCGGCAACTCCTACAGCAGGAACAACAGAGCTTTTTTTTCATGAAGGAAAATATACTGAACATGAAGGGATTTAAAAAAGCAAACCAAAAAAAAAAGTGTTTTAGCTTTGAACATAAAAGCAAAGATAGTCACTCAACTCCAAAGAAAAAACAGCTTAAAACACATATCTGTCTATTAATTTTAAGCAGCCGCTTAACCAAAAAACACAACTCAGGTTTGGGATCAATGTAGCTGGATAACAACATGTTAGCCAGGATAAGTTAAGCCAGAGTTGTTTTCTTTTTTTTTATTAACTCTCATGCATCACACCCAGATTGTTTTCTTACTTTTTCAAAGCACACAATCCACAAATAGCTGCTTTTCGGGCCCCAAACAAACAGTAAACGAACGTTTGGTGGCCGAAACACGCGTTCATTCAGTTGAGTGTCACAACAAGCTTGAAAGGAAAATAAATGTTTATATTAGCATCTTTTTAACAATCAGATTTTACTGAAAAAAAAATAATTCCCCCCCAACAGGGTGAAAAAACTACAGATAATCTACACAAACCTTCATACAGTTGATTCAGACTCTCTATGAATATGTTATAAATAGGCAGAGTGAGAAGGGACGGGATAAAAGTATAAATATATGAAAATAAAGACAAATATAAGGTGACAAACAGATGCAGGAAGTCAAGTCTAGGGTTTTTTTTTTCAGTATTTTCTACTTATAATTTTTTAGATTCTCATGTTTTGTGTTCAACAAATAGAATTAATAAGAACAGAGTAGCAGCGGCAGGTTTTTTAGTTTTTGAACGTTTAAATATTTTTTTGGGGCTCTGTTGTCCCCGCTGCAGGGGAGGATGGGAGCTGACTGCAGGCCACCCGAACAGCTTGGCATCACACCGAGTTGGGAGGGGGAGGGAGAGCGGGACGGGGGTCATTTCACCGCAACCAAAACAGTCTTAACCACTAACATCATCTTCTTTTTAGCGGCAACTCTGAATGGCAACTTTCCCTTCGGAGCTGCTACTTTTTACTCAGAATCTCTCAGGCTTACATTTTTTTTAGTCGGAAAGATTTATTTTTCTCTTCCACGACAGTTTCCTGAAAACAGGAAGATGATGTTGGCGTACAGGCGATTTTGGCAGACAGCTTCCTGTTTGGTCTCTAGGAGGCGCTGGCTGGCTGCAGAGGCGGGCAGGGGGAGGAGCTGCCTTCCTGTCGAGCTGGCAAAACTCCTCCTCCTCCGGCTATTGGCGTTTTTGCCCCTTCCTGGACGGCGGTGGTATTGGTGGTGGTGACGTCTTCGTTGTAGAGACGTTTAATGCCATCGTAAAAATCATCCACCTCCATCTCCTCCACCTGGACAGGGAGAGAGATATTTATTGCTACAGCTACTGATTCCCATATTCTGCTTATTTTCAGCTCCATATTTTTATTCTAGGGTAGCTTTGCATGATTCAGAGTTCAGAATAAGCCTCGTTTGTTCCTAGCTGAGCCGCCCAGTTCAGCCTCTGTTTGAAGCAGCCTCATTTAACTGCATTTCATCTCCTTCGAACTAACTTGTCTGAGTAATTCACCCTAGCAATTAGAATATTTGAACATCAGGTGGGTGGAGCTTCTGTGCCTATGAGGACCAGAGTGAGGCTTCTTGAGGCTTCCCTTCTGTCTGACATCATCAAGAGGAGAAAAAAAAGTGTAACAGTGCATATATGACAGGAAACAGAGGAAATAACAACAGGTCCAGCCTAATATCAAATGTGAGAAGAAAATAGAGTCACCTTGCGTTTGGTCGAGGCCTTGCAGCGCAGTGTGACCTTCTGCAGGTGATTAAGATGGCGGAGATGTTTGGGGGGAGAAAGCAGGGCTGGGATGCTGCTGTCTGCAGAGGAGGAGGAGGAGACACTCAAGGGCTGCTGGCTCTCCTCCTCTTCCCCACCATCAGCAGTAGACTGTGGGTGGGCAGAGGTGACATGGTCCCTGGAAGACTCGGTGGTGGAGGTGATGGTCCCTACAAAGGAGGACATCACAAATACAGCTCACGCCCTCTGATGCTAACACTTGCTTTATGAATATAAAATGTGGCTTACTAAGAAAACTTTTTTTTTTCTCCTCAGTGGCAAAACACTTTCACAGGTCCGAGTTGGTGACTGGCTCAGTAGCATAATGTGCTTCAAGAAAGATTTCAGACACTGTCCTCCAGCAAAATCTGATAAGCAGCTCTGATGTAGAAGTCAAACATACCCAGTGTGCAGCAGGGTGGTGTAGGCTGCGGGGGCTGGTAGATGTACACGGTGTTCGGAGGCAGGGGAGCTCTCAGTGTGGAAAGACTACGAGCCACCAGCTCACGGCTGCGAATCAGCTCAGAGCTGTCGATCTAAGGAACAGAGAGAGAGACTTATCTTTACACAAGCTCTGCAGCCCTGACCTGATGTGATGGACAGAAGCATGTGTGCTCGCCTTTAACTAGTAAAATTCAGTTTGATCACAGCAGCTTGTAAAATAGTCTTAACTTCTAGTGGAATCGTTCATGTTTGTGTTCACAATTTTTCATCCTCCTGCTACAC